TAGAGGTCAGCTAGGTTTTTATGAAGGTTTGGTAGGATTTGACAGTGCATTGCAGTCGAAACCTACGAAAAGTTAGTCACCTCTTGCGTGACATACATAAAGGTTTTCGTCTCCCAAACATGGCGTACCACGAGACTCTCTCCTCAGGCACTCATGGTGTATGTTGGAGAATGAGCTCCGGACACGTACCACATGCATGCCACTGTTCTTTTTTTGCTGGTACGTACTCTGCTGTAACTTCATGCCTTGAAGGTGATGATAGCTAAGCCAAGCGTCACACTCCATTCCTGCCTAACTCCATCGACTTTGACATACCAGATGAACTATGACAACATAACGGAGAGAGAGAGAGAGAGAGAGAGAGAGAGAGAGAGAGAGTGTTAGATGTTTCTGTGAAGGGGAAAGGAGAGAAGCTTGATGGCATCTGATGGTGAAGACCCCCGTTGCTGATGTAGCAGTCATGTGCACAGCAGGGGTTGGTCATTAAAGAGTTTGGATTACAGTATAGAGGTTGCCAAATGCCATCAAAGGGAATGGTACTTCGTCTGAGATGATTAGAAGAAGCTGGAGAAAAGGTCTGCAGATGACCTAGAAATATGTGCCGTACGTTTGTATGACCAAAACAGTTCATAGCCTACAAATCAAAATCAACAATATATATATATATATATAAAGCTAAAATATTTTATTATATTTTTTATTTGTAATAAGAATAAGAGGAGAAGATGGAGACGAACAAAAGATTTTTGTTAGCTTTTTTTAATATTTTCTTTTATGATGTTCCCTATTCTTTATGAATATTTTGGTTTACTTTCAATATTCTTATTATCCAACCTATTATTGCAACATAATAGATTTGGCGTGGCTCGCGTCCAAAGTCGTAGATCGGACTGTTCGCATTGAACACACCACGAAGTCCACGTGGCACAACATTGCATTACATGATGTAGTTCATTTTGACGACAATTATCTCCGACGGTTTCGAGTTAAGACACGAATGGAGTTGATCCAATGGACACCACTCTTCGACCCTTTCATCGCAGAGAGAGAGAGAGAGAGATGCAGACGGTTAGCGGCGGCCATGTTTTCTCTGTAGTCGTCACCGGTCCAACCCAATCCCCGACGCCAAACGCCGCCCAGAGGAGGAGCCTCTTGCGGCGGCTCGCGCGACACACCGCCCCTACTCCACGCCCTGCCTGGAGAGCCATATCTCGAGCTCCTCCAGTCACGCCGTCCGCCGGAGCAGAAGCCCTACTCTGCCCGTGCCGCCTTTGCGTCGGCAAGAGGCGCCTCCTCCTCCTGGGAGCTTCGACGGCGTTGCTGCCCGTTCTTCCCTCCACCTCCCTCGCCTCGGGCCTCTCTTCGGATCCAGCCGTGAGATGTTAAACCCGCGTCTTAGTTTGTCATCACGATCATCAGATGTTTCTTCTTCTCTTTGGTTGTAGGCAACCGTCGAGAGGATTCATCCTCCGAGGCCTGATTGGTATGAGGAGATCTACGCCCAAGCCATGGAGAAGAGCATGAGAAGCTACGAAGCTGAGGTCAGTTGAAGATCACATGAATGCTTTCAAGAAATTTTGTTGCGGTAGAGTGTTTGTGGGCTGCTAAATTAAGAAGCTAACCAATCATATGTGTTAAACCAATAGTGTGCTGAAGCAGAGCTATCTCATTGAGGATTTTGTCCTGAAGAACAAGGCTTATATCCATGATAGAGTTTTGCAGAAAAAATATGCTGGAAAAAGTAACTGTTTTGGGACACATGTTCTTAACTGGAAAATTAACCCAAGTGATTCAGGTGAACTCATAAAGATCTGCTCGAGGATGTAGTATGAATTTGAGAGAGAAAAATGAAATATATGGTGTCAACTTATTTGATACTTGTTGGAGCAGCAAAGCTCAACAACAATCTTCTTCCTTTATTGTCTTTTTTATCTTCTCAAGTGCCTTTTGTTTGGTGTATAAAACATGTTTGGTTCATTATCTTTAGTTAATCATGGTGCATCAATTCTACTCCTGTTTGCTTTAATGTGTTTTTACAAGGCTGTATGCTTCTGATTGTCCTTTTTTTTGCTTTTCTCTATTAATATTTTGTTAATTATATACGACTCTACTTCCCTAATATGCGATGGTGTTACTGAATCACTGATTATATGTTCTAAATGTACATATTTATCTTTCCTGAGCTCAACATTCTTGTAAGTAAAGATCTCAACTTTTTGTAGCATCTCATGTCAAAGAACCCCTTCATATGTCCACAGGATGATCATCTTGCAATATCCTACAGCTAAGAATTGTGCTGCATCTGGACTCAAGCAGATTTGTTTGAACTTTCTTTCTATTACTATTGTTTTGGAAAATGCTTCAATTGTTGGTTTTTTGCTTTGCCCCATCTAATGTGTATTTGCCTTCTTGCATGTTTTGGAAGGTTGCAGCATACAAGGAAAAGCTCTTTCCTCAATTGACAGAAAAAGTTGAAAAAGTGCTAGAACTAGGCATCGGCACTGGTCCTAATCTCAAGTATTATGTTGGTGCTGGTGATCGCTACATCATCGGTGTGGATCCTAATAAACAGATGGAGAAATATGCGCGAGCATCAGCAGAAGCTGCTGGGCTGCATTCAACAAAATTCAGCTTCATTAGAGGGGTATGATGTCCTCTTATGTCTTGTCAAATATTATCTTCCTATCACCAAACATTAGTAACTTCATATTTTATTGGTATCTGTTGATCTAAATATGGTGACAGGTGCCTGAGCTTATACTAGCTGGCATAATCAACAATTTCAAATCACTCTTTTGTTTATTTTAAATCCTGTTATTGCATTTTAGCTTTCACGAAAGCCGTTACTAAATGTTACTAATGAACGGTCCGCTCCTAGTTTTGTACATATGGTATCTTTTTGTCTTTTCATTGATGAGCATTCTATTCTAGTACTGCTTTTGTAAGTTCTAAAGCATTAGCTCTAAATGATCCTTTTATAGGTTTAAGGTATTCAGCATCTCAGTTAATTATACTATTAGCAGAACGAAACTATTTGGTGTTGCTTCCTTTGGTGATACAGCTGTAAGAACTATCGGTTTCTTGTTTTCTTGAGTTTATGTATAGTTTCTAAAGTTCTGGATGCCAACAATTCGACATGGTGCCACGTAAGCCTGTGTGCTATTTGCATGATTAAATGTAAAATTTCATAGAAATGAACCTTGGAATGCAATTTACATCCAAAATCAAGCGTATCCGTTCCTTATACCAGTTTGTTATGGAAATGCCGTAATATTTAGCTTAGGAGAAGTAAATTGATTATTAACTTATATCCATGTGTGTAATTTACTAATTTATGTAATTATCTTCACTCTCTGTATTAGTCTGGTCACCAGCTAAAACAGTTAGAATGCGAAATCATTCGCTTTTTGCTACACTTAATTTCATATTCCAAACTCAAATATTTGGGAATGTAAGGGGAGTTACATGTTTTGCTTTCCCTTGTATAGATTGCTATGATTTCTTAAAATATTTATGAAGATTTGATTTTTAAATGCATAGACGTGTTTTCAGGTTAAGGATTAAAGTTTCTCGACGGACTACAGGTCTTTGTTATTTTGTAGGTCGGAGAAGCTTTAGATGTAAGGGATAATACCATGGATGCTGTGATTGGGACTCTGGTACTATGTTCTGTCAGCGATGTCGCGATGACACTAAGAGGTACTAAACATTCCCCTGTCCTTTATTTCTGATATGTTTTACATCTTCTTTTGCATGTCACTAAAGATCCACACGAAATGATCGACATTTGCCCAATGTAAGTTTGTCTAAATTGCAATCCATGCTTCATGCATTCTGATCATGGAATTAGACCCTTCACCTGTGTGTCTAAGGTTGCATGAATACCTGGATATTAGTGGCTTGAAAAACTTCCCAGTCCAATGACCTGTCTTGAGAAGTAATTGTGATGATAGCAAAAAATTAACCTGATGACAGACTACATGGGTCACCGACCCGACTTCATGATGACATGACCAAGCTTGTCATTTGGTTGATTCATAAATATTGTTTCTTTTGCAGTAGGTAGTTAATCTAGTTTGGCCAACCTAATAGACATACGGAAACCTTATCGAGTTCTTAGCAATACGATAAACACTTTGGTTCGATAGAAATTGGTGACTGCGCCCACTTTGCTGAATTTTGCTCCTGAAACTACAAAAATGTTTATAACCTCATTTGTATCGTCTGCCTTTCGTGTTTTTTTTGTGCCATAATGATCTAAAACGATTTCATACAGAAGTAAAAAGAGTATTGAAGCCTGGCGGTCTCTACCTCTTCATCGAACATGTTGCAGCGCGAGGTACTTTATTCTTCAGATAATTTTCCTTCTATTGCGTTTCTGAACTCGACATGAAGAGAAAAGAAAACAAGATCTGTTTTTGTTTATGGGGTGATAATTGTACTGCGTGTGCAGATGGTTCGCTGCTTCGGTTCATGCAAGGACTTGTTGATCCTCTGCAGCAGTTTGTTTCCGATGGGTGTCATCTCACAAGGGAAACAGGGAAGCAGATTTCTGAAGCTGGCTTCTCCAGAGTCAGCCTTCAAGCTGCGTTCCTGTCGACGGTTCCTCTCGTTAGCCCTCATGTCTATGGAATTGCTTATAAATAGTGTTCTTGTAGTACTTGATGTCATGGATTTGAACCCCATTCATGCTGTGGAATGGCCTCCGATTACTATGTGAGCTTTTGGATCCAACCGCGGACCGGAAGGTTGATGAAACTGTATGATGGGGTAGGTGTCGCTTTCTGGTTCGGGGAGGACTTCGAAGTGGGTTACAAGGTGAGACGCGTCGGGTGATGGGTTGTGGAAAGGTTGTATGCTGTCTTGGGTTGTTCAGTGGACGGAACAATATATTTAGTAGAAGCGCAGTTACCTATGAGTATAATCTCTTCTAAATCAAAGACATACTGTATGTATACAGTGGATTTCCACACGGGTGTATATAAAGGCGATGGCGAAAGATGAAGATGGGAGGCGGTGGCGCTCTCCTCCCGCCGCCCGGCTTTACGAAGGATATAATGCTCCGCTCTTCCTCGTCCTCCTCCTCCCAAGCTACTTATCTGCAACCTTATCCCCCACAATTCCGACTCCGTCATACGCACGACCGGGTTCGCTCCTCTTCGTCCTCTCCCGCCTGCCCTTCTTGTCTCCCCGGCCTTCGATTCCGCGAGAAGCTTCTCTACCTCGAGAACGACCTCGGCGTTGATTCCTCCCGCGCCAGCGCCAGCGCCCTCGCCCTCAACCCTTCCCTCCGCTCGGCCCCCCCTTCCGCGCTACGCGCCTCGGCCGACTCTCTCCACTCCTTTGGCCTCGTACCCCCGACGTCGCCTGCGTCTTCACCATGGACGCCTCCCTGCTCACCTGCGACCCCAGCGCCCACCCCCGTCCCCGTCTTCCGCTTCCTACTCGGCCCCGTCGCCATTCCCTTGCCCGACCTCCGCAAGGCCGTTGGCCGCTGCCCCCGCCTTCTCGTTTCCAGCGTATCGGACGAGCTACGCCCCGCCCTCCACTTCCTCCGCCGCCGCACCACTCTCCTCCTCGTCTCCAGCGTGGAGGACGCCCTCCTCCCCAAGCTCGACTACCTCCGCGGCCTTGGCTTCTCCCACGAGGAGACCCGTAGCATGGTGCTCCGCTCGCCCGGTTTGCTCACCTTCAGCATCGAGAATAATTTCAGGCCCAAGGTCGAGTTCCTGATCCACGACATGGGCAGGGATCTCGCCGAGCTCAAGGATTTCCCGCAGTAGGGCAAGATCATGCCCCGGCATCGCTTGCTGGCAGAGAAGCGGCTCTGGATGCCTCTCCCTGCGATGCTCAAGGTCAGCGATGCGGAGTTCATTAGTCGTCCGGTGGAGATGCAGCTGGGTTCTACCAACGACAAGCTGTAGGACATCATCATGTGAGTCACTTTATGGTCCTTTTTATTCTTTTGATGAAAGAGATGATATGGTGTATGCACGGGTTAATTACATGTTATCCTTACCTTTAGCATCTCGCTCTAAATACTTTAAAAAGTTATATTGACATCTCTATAATTACGAAAGTAAAATATCTAGATTCATTTACCTTGATATCGTCGATTTTATCAATAGAAATATGAAAATAAAGGGCAAAAGGATGATTTTAATATTTCAGTTAGTAGTGACGGACGATGTCGGTGGTAGCGGACGATAGCGCTATTGAGGGTCGCAGATGGTTATTGTGGATGAGGAGAGCGATGACGAGAGGTGAGAGCTTTTTGGCAACTATGTCGACAACGAGTTTGATGGCGTAATCAACGTCGAATTTCGAGACCCATATTTTTCTATCGTCGTTGTATATGTTCGTCGGGAGCTCGGCAACCGCTCACCTCCTTTCAGAGATTCCCTTTCGGTCAACGACAATTGCAGCGAATAAAACTCTTCGACGAGCCCTCTATCTCTCCTTTTTTATGCTCATGCTGAAACTAATACGGTAGCGGGGGGAGCGGTAGGAGCTCCAGTGACCCTAGCTTCGGGTCAAGCAATATGCCCAACGGGTCAGTAGCAAGGCGGCCACCACTATCTACGTCAATGCTGACGTAGATGCAGAGCGGCATCGCTTGACAACTATGTCGGCGCCGACGCAGTTCTCGAGCGACGAAAAGGCTATCGATGTAGATGCAGAGAGGCGAAAGGGTCGCTCGGCAACTGCGTCGGTGTTGACGTGAATGCAAAGCGACCCTCATCTCTCGTCGTTGCCTTCCTCATCCACAATAGCCATCCGTGGCCCCTAATGGCATTGTCGTCATCGTCGGCCACTACCGACTAGAAAATTAAAATTATCCTTTTGCCTTTTGTTTTCGTGTTCTTGTTGGTAAAACCGACGACGTTAAGATAAATGGATATATATGTTTCACTTTCGTAACTATAGGGATACAAATGTAACTTTTTAAAGTGTAGGGATCAGAATACTAAAGGTAACTAACCAAGGGGATAATATGTAACTAGCCTTGTATGCACATATGCTTGACTTAGATCTTCTAAAACTTCAACTGCAATTAGTTTACATATATAGAAAAAGATCTCTGACTTACAATGGAAAATTAGTGTTGCCAGCTTCATGAGTATCTCCTGTGACATTCTCATGTCTTGTTTTATAGAATCTTGTTGTGTTTATTTATTTACTTTTTGTTGTATGGTTATGTTACTACTGTTAATAAAATTAGACTGAAACTGATCAGCACTGATAAGGAAGAACTGGAAGATTGAGCATACATTCTGTACAAAATTATTGCAGACTTTTAAAGTGCCTCCCATGTGAATCATATGTATAAATATTAACATTTTTTTAATTGTGAGGTTTCCTCGAGTTGATTGATCTTACATTGTGCTGTGTGTAAATTCTTGCATGCAAACGTATGATTACTCTCGGGTCTGTTAAGGGTTATGTTTACAGTTTTTGGATTGAAGATCTGCACAGCTAGTTTATCCTACTCTGACAACAAAACAAGAAAAGATGCTTGAAGCCATATGAACTTGAGCATATGTTCGATTCTCCTTATTTTTTGATCTTTTCACTTCTCGTAGGAATCCTGGCTTTTGTCTTTCATATGGGTGCCACATGTGGTTATGTTCTTTGAGTTATTGCTTATTTTTTTCTCTTTTAATTAAAATGTGATTTCCCATCTTTGACATCCCACATTTATGTACTTTTCACACACTCAATTTGTTGACTTTGAACATGTTTAGAAGCTAATAGTAAAATACAATCTACTTAACTAGCCATTTTTTTTTTTTGGGCATAGGATTTCATGGATTAACTTGAGCTATATGCTGCCTTGTTTAGCAGCCTATTTTATTAAACTTGAAACTTATGTTATTATAGATTAACTATTACTGGGCTTTTCTTGTTAATGATTCCAATAATGATAAATAAATAGTCCAATCATCTTATGTTTTTAGGATCGTGATTAAGTAATAACTATTGTGGACTTTAAATAGGCGCATTCCTTTCTACTCACTCAATTCTGCAATTCCACAGAATGGGAAATGCAACTAACTAGCAAGGTATTTATTCCTACTATTAACCAAGTTTCTCTCAATGCAAGTCTATTTGTGATCAAGTGTGTGCCTCAACTTTCAATTGATTGAACTAAAATGAAAGTAAGTTCATTTACACCTTTTGAAGAGTAAAGTCCTCAAAAACAACATGTGTGATTGGAAGGATAAAATCAAGATCCTTCAAAGACCTTTAGGGGACATTTTGTTGGAGATATCTGCCATGGAAATGCTGGTTGAGGGCCATGTGGCTGCTTATTAGGAACACCAGCCTCAGAAGATCTTTAGACTTCAGCTGGAGTCTACTTCATTAAGATATGTGTTGTTGGTCTTCACAAAGCATTTACACAGAGAACTCTATAAAACTGAGTATATATGTTTACATTAACAACTTGTGTGATACAATTGCAGAGATTTTTCACTCTGAAAACCGCAGAAGTTTTGGTTCCTACGTATACTAGTGATATTTGATTAATATACCGATAACGGTGAAATCTCCATACCAACACTACCTACCTGAGGAAAATGAATTGAATAATGTGTAATATAAAGGTAATTGTTCCCTTATAGTGGCCATGCACAAAATTTGGAGGGTTATAACAATGCCTTATAACCTGTTGCTGTATGTTGTAGTGACCATCCTATCTGGGTTATAGCAGTTGTTAATGATTTTTATCACTGTTAAATAAAGACTCTGAATTTTATGGTTAGAAATATGTGTGTTGATTCAATAGCTCTTATTTTCTATTGCTCTACTAATCATTCAATGGACAGTGACTATTTTCTGAGAGGACTGGTGACTCTTGGTTGTCATTCTCCTGCATTATAATCCAATATAATGGCCTACTATAACGGTGAATATTAAAAATAAAAAATCATGGAAGTTGTGGGGGAAGTGTTGAGAACAGCCTACTACAACCATTATGAGAAGCAATGGTTTTGATGGGTTAATTGTTACACCCACAATGACAGAACTTTAGAACCTCGACAGTATGTAACTCCTGCCCCTCAAACTTGATCCTAAGTAATGAATTTCCTGGTGTATGAAAATTGGTATATTCTTTTCAGAGGATAGATGTTACTGAAAAGTACTGTTGTTTATTAGTCCGATCATCTGAAATTTAGAGCCTAAGAAGACATAAAGAAGAGACCATACCTCATGTTACCTGGTTATTCAACTGCATTACATGTCCTAGACTCATGATCATATAATCAATACCTTGAAGGTTCAACAGGAGGCACATGTAAATGATTGTGCTCGAAGAGGACTGTGCAAGTTGTTGATGGATGTCATTTTGCATATTTGTAGACTGGTGCAAGTTCCAGCTGATCTTCATACTTAGAACTTTCTTATGCCTCTGTTCAGACTATCCTGTTTGGTTAACTTGCACTGTGCTATTATTTGTTATAGATTGCATTCTTGGATTGTGCTACAGGGATGAAAACAGATCCAAATGGTCCTCTAATTTTGGTTCTTGACATAAAATGATTTGTTTGCTCAATTTCTTGGATTCAGACAAATTATACAGAGAAATGCACATGGTTCTGTTATAGCTTTGTTGGAAATAATTCCTTGTCAACCCGTCAGAACTCGTTGCTTCATTCTTTCTACCCATATTTTCATCGTATCTCACAAAGATTTGTAGGGCAAGGAAGAAAGGATACTGAAGATAAATTGTCACTCTTTCTCAGGTAATTTCTAAAGGATTCACGTATCAGCTTATGCTTCTCTGTTCCCCACAGATTTCATGGGCAATTCAACATTTTTTTCACATTTATTGATAAATTACCGTCAGTTTGTTCTGAAGCAAACTTGAAATTATAACTTGGATTTCGTTGCTAACACTTTAGCATACTGCTCAGTGGTTGCTTTGAAGATATAGCTGCTGTTGTGTTTTTTTTTATGAACTTTAGCTATTTGTAAACGTTGGAAATCTGACAGCTCTTTTATTTTTATATGCTCTAGATCATTAAAGACTGTAACAAATGGAAACATGAAGGAGATGCATAAATTGTATGTATTACTAACAAGTTGAATTTTCTTTGCCCAACAGTGAAATTACTGTTGGAGACTGGTTCAGGGTGTAGGAGTCAATAATCACTATGAAACATGTTTAGTAGTTCCATCTTGTTAGGGTGTAGGCTTAGATTTCGTTGAAGGTTGAATACCTCATTATCCAAGCATCTTTAGTTAGATACATGCATAAAAGGTAAGTCACCATTTAAAGCATTGCACTTGTGCCTTCTGCTTGCCAATGTACTATTGAGTGTTCATCCAGGTTTTGGGGTAGAATTGACCATAGAGATTGATGATTGTTGTGGATTGGTGATTCTGGAACATTAATAATATACAAATCAGTCCATCCTGGGGTTTTTACCCATGGATAGACTCATAATTTCAGATAATTGCATGGTCTTATATGCTATACTCAAAGAAGAGTGCAGTATAATGCAGTTGGAGAGTGGGTAGCTGCTGTAAGTTGGAGGATGTGTGGATTAGAGTTATTGGAAACATCGGGTTGTTGTCCTCATGATTTCTGACACACTTCACCACTTGTCACTCCCACCTCCATTGCACCCCTTAAAACACTTCACCATTGTCAGGAAAAGGTCTGCTCTTCTGTTGGCTTCCTTGGAAATGCCCGCAGTGTTTGTCCTGCTGAGTAGGACTGATTGGACCAGCGGTCAGACCCCTCCTTAAGTTGTATCTGCAACCAATCCATCCTCTGAAACTTTCCTGAGGATTTGGACAACCTACGTACCAGTTATCAGAATGAAAAATCAGTATAATAAAAGGGGCATTGATTACTCTTCAGTGATCCAAACACCATAGTTTAGATTCTTACTGGCCCTTGTCATGAACCTGTTTGAATGCCAGGAAGACATACTTGCTCCTCGTGAGGTCTTTGGTTTGTTGCATCCTTCCTGTGTCACCAGGTCTTATATAGGGCATGATAGGTTGTAATTGATAACAATATCAAAGAACTTTTGTCACTTGGACAGCCATGTTGTTGTCTCATATTGTTCATAAATGTTGTCCACATGCATAGGCTTCCTTCAGCACCTTGTTGCCTTTCTGAAGGGTGTGGGGGAAGGAGCATTTCTGTGTCAATGAATACGGTGAGATTTGATGTTAGGGTACCTGTGTAAGAAGGCAGACCAGGAAAAGTGCAGATGAGAAGGGAGCATTGACAACATCTCTGGGGATGGCATATGCTTACTTTCTGAGCCATTAGTATAATTGTCTCAGAGGTGAGACCATTTGTTCCCGTTCCCTTCCGGGGGCAACTGTCTTAAATGATGTTCTTTCTTGGCCTCCTGCTCTCTGTGAAGTGCAAGTAGATATGCTAAAGAAGTGGTGTTCACATATTGAGTATGGAGGCTTTCCAACTAGTGGCAATTCACAGTAGTGGTCCATGGTTTATCATGAAGACAGATCTGTGAGACATCTGCCTAGTTCATATCAAGGTTTTGAATGCTGAGGCAATTGGGTTGGTGTGACATTTCTTCTTTGGTGTCACAAAGTTTGGTAAGTGGAACCTGCACATGACCTAAAGGAAATTGCCTAAACAAGATGAACTTAATGCTAATTAAAAATAATGACTTGCAATTGCTTCACTTCTCCTCTTGGGGAGAGGGGTTACAAATTTCCTACTTGTCCTAGTGTTTAGGAAGGCAATCTTTTGGTTCTGGGGCGAGCCATCAACTGCTTTGATGGTGAACCAATCAAAGAGGCAGACAGAGAAATCTTATGATGCAGGCCCCTTCTGTACATGGTAGGACCGTATCTCTTCTCTTGCTGTGTATTTACTATTATTGCATTGCCTTTTTCTTTTTTTGTGTATCAGAAGTTCTATATCTTCTAAATATTTCTCCTGCTCAAGCAAAAAGATGTTTGGATTTTTTTGCCAATCTATCCTTCCACCCTCATCTGGTTCAAGGGTAGTTTTACCATGTCTTCCTTATTGGTTCTTTGTTCCTCTTGGGAAACTCAGCATCAATATCGACCTACCTGCTCTTATGTGCTATGAATGAACTGTAACTACCCTGGTCCTTTCACTTCAAGTTCACAGACACCACCAGAAGATGTATCTGTTTGTATGTGCATGTTCATTCATCATGTCAATGTTCTCAATGAAACCAATTCCCATTGCAGTTGATGAAATGGTACTCATCCTAGTGCTTTCTGCAAAGAAGTATTGGTCATCATCCAAGTCAGAATGCAGGCCTTTGGCACTGATTTGTCCAAGAGGTTGGAAGCCAGAGAGCAGACAGTATATGAGGTCATAGGATTCAATTCCTTGAGATGGTTTCTGCATTAAACACTTACTGATTTATCCGAAGTGAAGATTTTGAACAGTAAAAGGAAAAAAAAAAGGCTCACTGTTACAAGATCTCCTACCTCTCCTTACTTTGGATGTTAAGAAAAGTTGGGAACAAAAGAAAGCTCTTCTCATTTATCTAAAAGAGAAGCAGTGGTGATGCCTGATGAGAGCCCTAACTTTTCAGTCCTTTTCCCTACATCTTCTACTATATCATAACAAATTAGTACTATTTATGAATCCCTCCCTTACATTTCAACAACTTCTGTTCCCTACTTATGGACTTCTTTTCAGGTACCTCGAAACCGTGCAGCTGACAAGAACAGGAAGCCTCCCTTGTCGACTTATCCCATCAACAAATCCTTCTCTGATTCGAGCTTAGTACCACCCAACTAAACTTGCTTCAAGAAGGGAACTTCCCTTTCAAATTATTATGTGCAGCAATTAATACATCATAGAGTGGGCACCAACAAAGTTCTGAGGAATGATGCATCAACATCTTCACTGTAAGTTGGATAGTTCTGTCACAGAGTTGGATGACAGTCACAGTGTAATCGCAATCTGCTTGCCTTGGTCCATGTATCTGTATCATGAACATGCCTAGATTAGCAGTTCAGATCACTTTTTGATTAATTACAATTCCGAGTATCAGTATCCTTTTACTATTGTAGTACATAAATTTGCAAAACTACAAAATATGAAATGCTAGGAAAGACACAAAAAAAGGTACTGATGAATTACATTGTCTGTTTAGAAATATGACAAACTATTTTGGGTGTCTGAATCATTGGGAAAACTGACTCGAATACTTAATTGTCATTTGGTATCTGTTCTCGATCCAGTTGCAGGGAAGCACATTCTATCTCTATATTCTCCTTTTTGTTCCCAGAGTGTGGAGTTAATTGTAGACATCCTGCACTCTTCAAACACTTCCTGGGTGGAGTGTGGACAAAGCCATGTGACCTCATCTTCTTCAGACATTCAAATGGGGCCTATCTGTTAATTGTGCATTCAATGGTATTACCTCAGGCACACAGCTTTTGTAAAGCCCTTTCTTATGTGGTTTCACAGGAGGCAGAATGATGCATTCTTGTCTTCAGTGGTTGTGGTGCAAATTTTTTGTTAGGTTGTTGAACATTCTATCTGTTCTAAATATATGCCCTGTTTTTTTCTCTCTTTTTTTTAAGATACACTAATTGTTGTTGTTGATAATTTTTTATTGTCATTTGACATTACGCGCTGATCTGCGCACAGCATTGATATTACAGCTACAGCTGATCAATTCTTTGTTTGACAACCTAACAAGAACAAGCATTTGTGTTTTTTTTGTATTTTAGGGTGAGACATCTCATTCGTGCATGGAGTATATATGAAGCAGTTCAGATGCTGAGTGGAACAAACATCCAATGCTTGTTCTTCTGATCTTTTAGTGAAAAGAGAAGCAAAAACATACCAATAAGTTTATTCTCTCTTTCAGTTCCAGCTGCTTTTTTATCCTTCTAGGGTTTGTTATTTCACCCCCATGTTTAGTTGATTAATCACTCGACAATTCCAGCTGAACCCTGCAATCTTTCAGTTGCTATGCAGGTGGATACATTCACCGGAGGAACCTCACTGCGGCAGAAGTGAGCATGCTTAGTAAGAACAGTGATGTTAAAGAAGACAGATGAAATTTGTTGACTGGTACTTTAGAGAGAGAACTTTTGGGGGGGAGATTTGTTTAACTCGAAGCTGTTCTCCATAACTCTGCATCTTCTGCCCACTGTATCGTTGACCGCGAAGCACATTGGTTCACTTCACTGCTGTTCAGTCTGAGAGAGTACATTCCTGCCGCTGCTCCATTCAATAAACCAACCTCCAGCTGTGTCACTTAATCCTACAGATTGAGATGTGGTGTCGGAGAAAAGAAGCTAAAACCATTGAAATGGATTGACCTTTCTTCTGAGGTGGGGAAGAAAGTGAGCGGTGGTGCCACAGGTCATGTGAGTGCAGTCGGGTACATCCTTGTTGTGGAAACCTGTAGGCCCTTGTGTGTTCTCTTTTGGATGTTGTCTTCTTGGCACCATGCAGAACTGGGTGTCGATGAGAGACCTGAAGCTTTCCACTCACCTGCACCATGTTTGTCAAGTCTCAGTTGGTTCTCTTTGTCTCTCACCCAAAAATTGGAACAGACAATGGCCGCCCTCGGGAAGAACCACTTGCTGTTTGTGAGTTAAACGAACTGCTTCACCGGATAGCTCAGGAAGATGGAAGGGTTTGGTCGTGAAAGAAGCCTCGGTGGCGAGAGTAGCAAGCAATGTTTCCGCTGGATTCTTAATTTCTAAGTGGCACTGGTTGATGAAGAGAGAGAGAGAGAGAGAGAGAGAGAGAGAGAGAGAGAGATGTGATATCTATCAGAGATGTTTCCCTCAGAAAATTCAGTGATGTTGAGCTCTACACTGGTCAAGGTTGGAAGGTAGCAGCCATTCATTAAATTAGACTGAGAAGGTACAGGGGAGAGAGAGAGAGAGAGAGAGATGAGAAGACACCCACACGTGTGGACCTGAGCCTGGTTCTTCTGGGGAGGATGTTGAAGCAGTGAAAGCGTGACAAATGGGCCTGTCAAGCTGGTGAATGGTGGGGAGAAGCTGATTGGGTTTCTGTTTCTAGTTCTTCTGTTCCCCCCACCCGCTGCCACCACCTCTGTCTCTCTTCATGACCTACGCTTTATTTCCCCCATTTCCCTTGTTGTCGGAGTGACCCTGCAACTTTCTGCCGGAGGTGAAGGCATGGCCAGTAGATGTTATGCGGACTCTTCTCCTTCTTCCTCAGCAAAAGGAGTTCCTTCTCAAACAGACTCTCTCTCCTTCAACACAGCCTCTTCGGTGGAGAGACATCACTGCGGCTGTTGTACCTTACCTTTCATGGAGAGTTGCCTCAGCTTGCAGGAAAACGCTCAGCAGAACAGCGAGGTCAGTCATGATAAGTATTTACTTGGAGAGAACACGACTGTGGGGAGCGGCGCTGCCGAAAGTGGACAGTCGAAGTCCTGTGCCAGAGGCCATTGGAGGCCAGCTGAGGACTCCAAGCTCAAAGAACTGGTGGAACTCTACGGTCCCCAGAACTGGAACCTCATAGCAGAAAAGCTGGAGGGCAGATCAGGTAGAGAGCTGAGCGAATCTCCTTCTCTCTCTTCTGCTAACTGTAGGAGCTTGTTTTGACATGAAGCTCTACTCTACTCCCTCGTGTCTGGGTTTGAAGGTAAGAGTTGCAGATTGAGATGGTTCAACCAGTTGGATCCGAGGATCAACAGAAGGCCTTTCACCGAAGAGGAAGAGGAGAAGCTGATGACCGCTCACAGATTGTATGGTAACAAATGGGCCATGATCGCGAGGCTTTTCCCTGGTAGAACCGACAATGCGGTGAAGAACCACTGGCATGTCATCATGGCGAGGAAGTATAGGGAGCAATCCTTCGCCTGTCGGAGGAGAAAGTTAAGCCAAGCTGTCCACCGGAGATTTGAGGAAGTTGCTGCGGCAAGAGCAACAGCCGCCCGTGGCTTTGGCAGCAGTCATTCTTCGCCTTCCTTCCCTTCTCGTACTCCTCTTGATTCCTTCTCTGGTACGTACGCTCTCCTCACCTCGTCTTCCACTTCGTCTGCTCCACCCCTCCTATCATCACTGCTATTTCCTGCTGCATATGCTAGTTTCCAGTTCTGTAGGCATCATTTTCTACTCTAAATCTGATACAATTAAATATTAGGGGTTGTCTCATTTCAGTACTGCACTCGACAGCATATCTATTCATTTCCTCTTAACCTTGTCTCAACAAGTTTCTGTCCTTCTGATCCTCCATGGATCAACTCTAATAAACATCTTCTTGAAATGAGACATAACTGTAGCTACACAAAACTGATTTATTCTTGATGTGCTGATGATGGGAAAAGAAAAATTAAATAAAGCTGAAAAATCATTGTTTATACATATTATATTAGTTTGTGTCTGTGACTGTTGTTTTGTACCATGTTTGTTGTGAATTGACTGCAGCTAACAAGGCTGATGAGAAGGGTGATATGCAAAGTGCTGAGCCCTTCATGGTGTTCGGACAGCATTCTCCCCTCAGCTTATCAATGCAACAATCAACCCACTTATCCCATGTTTCTGCCAATGAGACACCATTTGAAGAGAACTCAGAGAGCAGCCACCTTGATGCTGCAGCCTCACCAACTTTCATAGATTTCCTTGGAGTAGGAGCCACATGAGTTGTGAGGTGAAAGGATCAAAACAAAGGCAGGCAGAAGAACAATGCAAAAGGACTAGTTAGAAAAGCTGGGTGCCAAGAGAATAGAGAGACCAAGATGCCAGCACAGAGAAGAAGATACCATTGTTGTTTGAGTTAAGGGAACAAATTTTGCTTGGCCATTTAACCTCTCAGTTTATGTGATTTAAACATCCAAAGCCAGGGTAGAATATTTGTATTTTAGTAGGTAAAATTAGTTCCAGTCAAGTCTACTAATTGGCTAAACTTGTGTTTATTCTGGTTGGAGACTCAATTTAACATTTTTCTCCAAGAAAATGGGAGAGTTCATAATCCACAAAATATTTGCACATACAAATTTGGACATTGAAATGCTTGTAACAGTATCTTTTAACACAATATCAATATAATTGCATTAGGAACAAATTATTGATGATAGTTGAAACCAATATGCTGGTGTCTTCAAATTAAGAGAAAGGACTGGAACTAGTGATCGAAAAATTCTGTGTGCAAACAAGGATATTATTCATGGAGAGGCATATATCAAACCTAATTATCAAAAAGGTTTGAGGCTCACTATAAATTTTTAAAGATATCAATTAAAGATTTGAGATCAACTTTTGTTTTTATCATTTATCCTTTATATTAATATAAATAAATAAATGACTCAGATCCATAGCATTATAAATATAAACATTGGGGTGAGTTCCTGTGCTATGAAGAAGAAGCATGGGTTGCAGTCATGGCATTTGGGTAAGCCCAAAGAAGCTCTTGTACTCTTTCACCCATTTTTCTATGGCAAACCATATGCAACTGCTCACTGTGTTGGGAGACTGTGACAGGGATCTCAATTTGGTGCAGCTTGCAAGCTTTGGAGGTGCCCTGCTCATTATTGCCTGGTAGGTTGGTGGTGTGTGTCAAATAGCCTCTGACCAAATGCAAGATTAAGAAGAACACTTATCCATCCATGCATTAGTAGCTGCTTTATAGAAACATCGAGTAGATCACATGCTTTCTTTGAGTGCAATAGCGTTGTAGTATACACACAAGTTGGACATGGCAATGGTTTTGCCCACCTGCTGCATGCTGCCTGATGATGAGCCCTCACCAGCAGCTCCATTAACAAAACCTAAGACATCCACTCTTCCTAAAAGTAGGTGGCTCTCCATGTACTCACACATGTGGAGGAGAAAGGAAAGAAGCCATTATTCATGGGAGAGGAGAAGACGAGAGACCCGCTAATCTATAGGAGACAGACAATGAACCTTTATTCATCCTTCTCTGCTGCTGCTGCAGCTGCTGCTCTCTGTTCTTGTTGCGTTGGTTGATGGCGGCTAGTGGACGGGAGGTGATGGTGGTGGGGAGCCGAAGATTGCTCCGGCCCGGGGGTTTGTATTGGCTCCCGGCTCCGGGTAGTCCATCTCCATCTCCGTCGTCTCTCTTCCCATCCTTGAATCTTCCTGATGTGTGACCAAGAACATGAATCGATGATTACCAACTGATGACGAGATAAGGAGGAGCTGACCTTATGCGATGGCACCGGAGAGTTCCACGCTTCATAATGCTTCATGACGTGAATCCTTCTCCCATATCCTGCACAGCCAAAACACGAAGGGAATGAAGAGCATGTGATGCAGACAAGGAAGAAGGAGAGGAGGAAGCCGAACGAGAGCAGCGAGCTCCGTCACCTTGAGGGGAAGACAGGAAGAGGAGGGCTGATACGAGCACAAGCGCCAGGAGAGGAAGCCTTGCCATGGTCGTCGTCTTCTTCCCCTTCCTCCTCTCCTCCTTTTTATCGGAGGATGAACCGAGCCATCCGCCGTCTTTATCGAGCCACACGCCAACCGAGTCCCGCGGGTGCGGGGCCGATGGGCGCCTTTGAGATGCGTGCTACGATATGACTCGGTCGTACTTCTGATTTAGAAGCTGATTTTGATTTGGTCAATCGTCCCAACCGGTTTGTTTGGATCCGTTCCCACGTATTGGGTCGGATTCGGCTACACACACTAAATAAGCCGTGTTGGGTTGGGTCGGATCTGACTTTGACTAGGCCTGAAAGAACATGATGTGAAACGTGTCAGACTCTGATTGGAAGCATCTTCATTGGCCCCACCAATCATTATACAAATATTTTTAGTCGTCTTTATTTCATCATTTTTATTTAAAAACAGACAATAGTAAAAAAAAACAAAAAAGAGAAATGAGAAAAAAACAGAGATCAGTTTTATTGATCCACTCGTTCGATGCCACCGTCGGTTTCGGCAGAAACAGCGGCAGCATCGCCGCCACTATATCCTCCTCCACCGTCTTCTTCTCCCGGCGATTGCAACGCTTGATCGCTTATTTCACCTCTGCCTCGTCTGTAGACGATGGTAAGCCACATCCCTCTTATCCTCCTCCTCCTCTGCTCCTCGTTTTCGGCCCCGTCCCCCTCGCCGTCGCCTTTCTTTGGATCTACGCCCTCCTCCGGCGGCATCCGGAAGCGGCACACCGGGCACGACCCGTGCATCCCCAGCCACTTCACGATGCAACCCTCGTGGAACCGATGCCCGCACGGCATCTCCCTCACCACCGCCGCCGACTCTTCCTTCTCTCCTTCCCCTAGTCCGTCCAAGCACACCGGGCATTCTTCCTGCCGCACCCCTTCCCCCTCCCCCACATCTACCGTCCTCATCGCCTCGATCGACGCCTTGGACGCCGGCGGCGGGCCGCCAGCGCCGTGACCGCCATCTCCCACGCTCCTCTCGGACAAAATCTCCGCCATCAAATCGGGGTCCCCCTGCAGCACCACCATACCCTGGGTCACGGGGTTCACCAGCACGATCCGGTCCGGCGGCGACGGTTCCTCCCCGGCCACCTCCTGCGACGGCCCCACCACGCCGAGGATGACCTGGACTAAACCCGGCGTCCTCCAATCTCTGCCGCCGCTCATGAGCTGCTCCAAGCGGCCCGACGTGTACTCTCTCCCGGCCGCCATCTCGTTCCTCTCCTGGGAGGTGGAGGAGGAGATATTTTTAGAGCAGTCGATCGGAGCGTGCGAGGACAACTTAAAACTGGGGAACTTGGAAGTCTCCCGAAGGAGCAGCTGAAGCCACAGACCCCATTTCTACCCTCCCTACGGTCGAAGGGATCTGGGCCCCAATCTTCGGTTCACCCAAGGGTACAAACGTGGTTCGCAAATCATCACGTGACCCGAAACAACGACCTATGCTGTGGGCGAGCGCGTGGGACGAGGAGATGAAACGTGGGAGCATCGCATTCTTTGAGATTCCAAAGGCGTCGGAGATCAACGGCGCAGATGTTTTCTCCGGTTCTTCCGTTTGTTTCCCCGAGCGGTTTGACGGGTGGGTGCATCGTGTCGCTGTTTCGTCGTAATGTGGTTCGGATAAGCACGGGAGAAGGAAGATATTTATTCCTACACAAGCAGGGGCCCACACCTCTCGCCCAATCGTTTGACGGAATCACAAAAGAAGAGCTATTTATCGGGTACCGATACGAGCACGTTAAAGCTTTCCTTTTTATTTGACTCGACAAAATAATACGCAGAATCACATACAAACCAATACATTTACACCATTAACATCTGCAGGTGTTGCTTCAGTTGATGCTGCCATGGCGAGAAGCTCCCGGTCTTCCATCACACCTGCAGGTACAACTCTTGAAACCTCGACCGGAAGATAGGAGCTGCGCAAATCTTAATGGTGGACCGATTCGTTGACGACCATGGGTGTTCTGCTCCTCGCCTCACCTACTTCCCACCGCCGGGGACGAAGGTTCCGGCGTAGCCGACTCCCATGAGGATGAAGGACAAGGCCAGAGGGTAAATGTACATGAAGTATCGATCGGTGTTATGTACGAAATCGTAGGTCGCACAGGCCACGAGGAAGGCCCCAATGCCAATCTCGTCAAACTGGATCCTACAACGAAGGAGTGCAGGTCTTTACCGAACGAAATGGCAGGCGTGGAGGAGCTACAGATCAAGGAAGAGAACAAGATTACCTCTCCCAGCACTTGGTCTTGGATTTCTTGGGTGCTGCTGCAGCAGCTGCTGGTTTCGTCTTCATCGTGTCTCCTAATTTCTCGGTGACGATCCATTCGTTCACTCGGTTGGCTTCTGTGAGGCCGATGAAGACCGCTTTGCACCGGTGCCATGACATGACGTTCTCGAACAGTATCCAGAAGATGATCAAGTGAATGGAGCTGAAACGATGGCGAACAGACGTCAACAGGGTACGGAAAGCGGTGCCAAGATGGAGAAATGGGCATCGCGGCGAAGAGAGTCCGAACCTTGGAGTGGCGACTGCGCTGAGAAGAGTGATGGCTGAGGGAATGTAAATGACTCCCCATTTGGGAATTTGGATCTCGGGGAAGAAGCAGGACAGCGGAATAATCATGCAGTAGAAGAAGAAGGTGACGTTGTGAGCTATCACTCTCCGAGCAAAGAAGAAGTTGTAGAGCATGAAGAACTTCTTCACCATGGACACTTTCTGCGGCACAAAAGCGAAAAGATTTGAACTCTTTCTTTCTCCCTTTTAAATCTTCATCATTGTTGTGCAGTAAAATGAGCTGACCTTGGCAGTGATGATCTCCACGGCCATCTTCTTGAACAGATTTGCAGGTCCACAAGACCACCGGTGCTGCTGAAAACGATATGCTTTGAAGGTGCTCGGTAGCTCATTCTTGACCTGTTCAACAAGAACAGCATTGTCGGACGCAGAAAGATATGGCATGCACTTAATTCTACTCGATACAATTCCTCTGTTCCAGTCGAAGAACTTCAATGTCCGACGTGATTAGTATACCTTGACGTTGCCGACGTATAAGAACTTCCATCCTGCAAGACTTGCTCGAACTGCTAAATCCATGTCTTCCACGGTTGTTCTTTCCTTCCACCCTTCAACCTCCACCATTGCAGAGATTCGCCATACTCCGGCGGTTCCTGTGTTCGAAACAAGATCGGGTGATCCTTCTGGCACAGAGTCAGCGGTGAAGTAAGCTGGGACTCACCATTAAAACCGAAGAACTCGATTGTTGACGAACCAGCTTGTTGTTCGACCTTGAAATGATAGTTCAGTGACATCTCTTGTATCTTCGTCATCAAGCATTCATCAGCGTTCACTGCATCAGCACTTACGTTGAACTTTGTCAGTGGGTTATCCCCTTTTCTCATCGCCTGCATGATTCGACGACGACGACGACGACGACTTGGGAACAAGCTTACCGAACTTCCAGCGAGCTTGGACGAGAGCGATCTCAGGGTTGTGCATCAGGAATGGGACTGTTCTCACGAGGAAGTCGGAAGCAGGCTGGAAATCGGCGTCGAAGATGGCGACATAGTCGCATTGCCGCACGTAGTCGATCTCCATCGCCTCCTTCATCGCCCCTGCTTTGTACCCGTTCCTGTTGTCTCTCGAGATGTAATGCACAGTGATCCCCTTTCTGATCCATTTCTCGCACTCACTCCGCACCATTTCCTGCACTTGGAAAGCAGATGAAGCTCGTTGATTGTGACCTTTTCATGCGGATTCATTCGTATCAGCTGGCGAAGGCAGGACAGACAAACCCGAATGGCTAGATCGGTAGAATCATCGAGCACTTGGATGATGAGACGGTCAGGTGGCCATGATAGGCTGCAGACAGCTCCCACGGATAGCTTGTAGACCTGCAGGGGGATGAAAGATTCATTCAAATCCAACATCTTGGCAGGTTGGATTGTCGGAGCATGACGATCGAACGGGAATTACCTCTCTCTCATTGAACATGGGGACTTGGACGAGCACCATGGGATGCACTGAGCTTCCCAGCTCCTCGTCGGCCTGAATCGGCTCCCATTTGTATATCTTCTCCGGCTTCCGGCGGAAGACCTTCACGTAGAGGCTCACGAGGGCCATCGACACCTTCTCGATCAGCAGAATGATCGACATGACCAAGCACAGTACTACTGCGATTCTCACCAGTGGCACCACCACACGCCCTCTCACCCACATCCACAGCAACCCGATCCGGTTCGGCAGGGCGTCCCAGGCGATGCCGAAGAGAACGGCTGAGGCTTCGTCGAACGAGACGGCGAGGTCGAAGAAAGCGTGCTCTGCATTGCAAGCTGACATGGGTTCACTGTGCTCACAACGTGGAATGACCGGAGCGGTCAAAGAGTGTACCTTCCATTGCTGAATTCTCCGCCTCTGCAACCTCTGCTGCTACTGGGAAAATGGCAGAGGACGTGGTCTACTCACCGAACGCCTTCGAGCTTTCACATGAGCTCCATCGGCAGAGCACGCCGGTGAGCCTCTCTTATAGAACGACTTCGTCAAAGCATCGGACACCTTCCATGATAAGAATATTAGGAAGGAAATCGGACAAAAGAGAAAGAAAGATGTGACTGTGATTGCAACAAGTAGCAGCAAATGGAGACAAGGATGAAATAATTCAGTACAAACAGAGATAGACAGCCACCTTTGTTTCCACATGCAGATCCACGATCTTCTTCTTCTTCTTCTTCTGTTCAAGAGCTTCTCTTTTGTAGATCAATTCCTACCTCTCTCTCTCTCTCTGTGTTCAGGTAACCATCCATGGTAGATCCATCGACACACACGTGCATCTCTGTGTAACCTCGAATCTTGAGGACGGCATTCATGGACGTCTTACTGCAGGACTTCGGATACACACCGGCCGGCATTTTGTGGTCATGCAATAGATCGATCACATGCAAGCATCGACTGCGAGAGGCGACACGTTAGCATGCGCTGGAAACCTCATGCCGTCGGTGCATGAGTTGCAGGGAAAATGAAGACGAAGCAACCAAGCTACATATTTGTCCCATTGTTTGTGGCATCCAATCCAATCATTCATACACTCTCTGTCTTAGCTTAGTGATGACTTAGCATAGTATGAACCACTGTTTCAAAAGGCTTAGTATACTCATTCAGTCCTTTTTGCATGTCAATCAAACTCCCAATACCTAATAACATGCATTGAGTGGAGAAATTAGTGGTTATTAAGTAACTATTTAGTTCATTACATACACTAACTTAACATCAATTTCTAGCCATTTAATATGACAATCACAGTTCATGCATTCATGTTCATGTGCTCCTTTCTTTTATTCTTTTTTTGAGGGCATGAAGTGCATGATGATACATACAATTAAATATTAATGATGCACCTCACAATTATTTGCTTCGTGTACTAATCTTCGGAGGAAATGATTGGAAATATTCATTATTAGAACTAAAATAAAGCACATTAAAATGATTTCTTTCCCCTCCTTATCATTGCATTATTCCTTGGACTCTCCTTGATTCGAGCCTCGATGTTAAAATTGTTTATGATCAGAAAACTTAGAGTAATATCTTTACTTACATAAGTTGGTATGAGGGCATATATATTGGCCTCCATATATATTTGCATGTATTAATATGTCATGCACAGAAGAATAGATTGGTGGCCTTCTTGGTGAACATAATGAATAATGCAGCACATAATGATACTTGCTCTCTACCTTTTCTCTTTATTATTATATGTGTGTTTTTTTTGTGATTATGATGGTCCCAAGAGTGCCCAATGTTCACAATCAATCTCCCTGATCATATAGTTTTTGTCTTCGAACTCACATGTGGATGCATGCATGACCACCATAAATGTCTCTGTGAGTCAACACAGAGACAAGAAACCTGCTGATAAGTGTGCTGTATGGATCTCAGAGAGAGACAAGCACGAGAACCACAATGATATAAACAAACATGGGAAACAAGATCACGGCACTCATCCAGAGAGATATACATGCCCTAGATTTGTATATCCAGCGTTCCAAGATTTGTTGGCTTCTGGAAGAGCAGGGCATGTGTTCCTCCATGGTGGGAGCTTTGGCAGGCTCTCCAGCCTCTAAATCTCTGAGTCGGATACAGAGCAGCAACTTACCACATGTTCACTTACCACTCCCCAGTCTTCAGTGGCTTCCCTGAATTCGCAGGAAAGAGTTGGTAGGGGGAGGAAGTGATACAAACGACACTCATGCTGTGGTAATGGTAATGGCTGAGTTGGTAACAGCTCCCCCGCTGGCAGAAATAATGATCATAACATCAACAGCCTCTATTTGTTGCCTCTTTGGGTTGATAAGTTAATATATCAGTTCATTTAATTGATTAGATTTGAGTATAATGCACGCACACATCAGTAGAGAATTCGGTCGAAGAAGACATATTTTTTGGGATCAGGTGATTTTTTGTGCTGGGTGGAGGGGAAGAAGATGAGAGAAGAGACGGCTGTTCTTTGATCGTAGGGGAGCTACACGATTTCCGGTGTCGCACGTCGAGGATGCAAGCAAGAGCTGAATACAAAACACGGTAAACCCTACGGGGTGGTGTTGGTTTCATTGATGGGCTTAAACCCCAGCTTGGTGATGATCTCGTCGGCGATCAGCTCGTTGGCTTGATCCGTCGGGTGGTACTCATCCCAGAACACGTACTGGCTCCTGTCCTCGCACAGCGTCGACAATGGCGTGCAGGTCAGCGTCGGTCGAATCCGCCCCAGCGAGCAGCACGGCGCGCGCGAGTTGTTGAACCCTGCAACACCAAGAAGAAGATGATGAGGAGGAGGAGGAGGAGGAGGATGGGGAAGAAGAAGAAGACTCACTCACCATACATGTAGGGTCGATCGATCAGGTCCTGGAAGGAATCGTAGGCGTCGCCGAAGCGGAAGGTGGCATTAGGAAGGGTGTTCGACAGATTACCGAGGAGCTCGGTGGCCGCCTTGTTGAAGCCTAGCGCGAGCTTGTTGGTGGATTCCTGGCATCCCCCCGAGGACGTCAGGATTCGCTGCAAGGGGATGCATCCCATGGGTCCGAGGCCGAAGAACGTCAGCTGCCGCGCCCCCAGTGAGTGCAGAAGCTGCATGCATGCATGAGAAGGATCAGAGGTGGATGTCTCGTATTCGATCGCCTGCGATGGCCTTCTGCTCGCTTAACTCACCTTGAGCTGCCCCTCCAATGTGTTCATGAGGTAGTCGATGAAGGTCTCCCCGTTGTAGCTCCACGAATCGGAGTAGACGGGGAGGAGGTAGTTGTTGATGAAGTCGTTGCTCCCCATGGCCACCACGTAGCGAGATTGTGCGAAGAAGTCGTCGGCCGCCGCGCGCCCGATCTTCCTCCTTATCAGCTCCTGAGTCCCTTGGAACAGTTCGATCTGCTTGTAGAGGGAGAACCTCTGCACCTGCAGCAGCACCCCGAAGCTCGCGAGATCACCATCGGCATGCATGCGGCGAGCGAGTGAAGAAGTTACAGAGTCGGGGGCGGGGACTTACGAACAGCGAGGAGGTCTCGTTCAGGATTCCGCCGCCTCCGGAGGCGTAGTTGACTCCGCTGTTGAGTATCGTGTCCTCGTCCAGAGACGGGTCTAAGAACGCCGGCGGCCGCGGGAGGCCCAGCTTGTCACCTGCAACCAATGAGCAGAGTCGATGACTCTACTCGACGAGAAGTCCACGGATGGAACAGATGGAGGAGGGATCCATCGAGAGATACCGACAATGTCGGCGACGGTTCGGCCATTGGTGAACCTCCCGTTGGGCAGGCCTTTTCCGAGATCGATTCCGTACCATGGCAGAGCGGCCCGAGCCAAGCTCTTGGTGAGGTAGTTGTTGTTGCCGACGTCCGACAAGGAGTCGCCGAAGATGAACTGCACGATGGCGCAGGAGCAGCGCTGGTTGGAGACACCGAAGAGAAGCAACATGACGAGGGCCACTGACAGCTTCATCTTCCTTCCCTCCATGAGCACCGACTTGAGAGCTTCGCAAGAGGCTGGTCCCATTTAAACAAGCGTGAGGGAAGCACTTGCGGAGCTCTCAGTGCATGTGTAGTTGAGATTCTCTCAACTTTCGAAGGTTGGAGAAGGAAGAAATGGGGAAGATGGATGGATGGATGCACCAACCAGTAGAACTACTTCAACTACTACTTCACCAACTAGAAATGTAGGCTCGGTTGGATTGCTGCTGGGGGTGTTGGCCTAACCTTTCTCCTCTCATGGACTTGCATCTGCTGCTAATGGAACAGAGGAATACAACTGGAAATATTCATCTAATTATATGCTTTGAGGAGACACCAAAACTTGGGTTTTGAGATGCTCACAATCAATTTAATTGTTCTTCAAGTATCAGATTGCTACAACATTCTTCTGGAGATATCTGATGCACAAAACACTCATGTTGAAACAATCAATCTTGATTGCATGGATGATGCTTATTTTTGGAACAACATTAATCATATATCTAAACATGGGGAGAGATGTCTACTGGACCAAAATAACTTGGTTACAATGTATCATGGCTCAAGATCCACCATACCATCCATCAATCACTGATGAGTCTTACCAGATGAGTTCTGATCAGCAAATCACATATTTCATCTTAATTCAAGTTTTCAACTACTGAATTCTACAAGCCTGTGAAATGTTGAGCACCATGAACAGAGAGAGGCAAGTCATCACATTATGAGGATCATCTGAATCCAGATGCTTGATAACACTAACAAAGACTTAAATTCCAAGATTGTCTCCTTGTGCTTTCCTCTGCCAGTAAGTGATGATTTAAAACTCCCTGCAGCTCAGAAAATGTAGAACACTTCACACAGCTTTTGAGAATTCTCCTGAAAAAAGAATGGCAATTTTGCTATATGATTATGTTTTCTAAACATACAATCAACGAAGTTCTCTACTCGGTTCTCTGATACAGTAAATATCTCCCTTGAATACAAGAACAAAGGAAATTTCACAAGACTAAATAACTCTCTCTCTCTCTGTGATAACTAGAGTATGGCACCATCAAAAGCCTATGGTTAGAGGAAATTACTAATCACTAAATATTTCCAAGAACCACCAGAAGATTAAACACTGTAGTTGGTCAGCCATCAAAAGAGGGCTTGTTTAGGCCATCACAATAACCTTTCCAAGACAATCATTTCAAGGATGACCAATATCTATGTAGATGTCCTCTTCCTGCAAAGTTGGTAGCATTTACTATACCACAAGGCGTGAATTTGCAAACCATGAATGAAGACAATCAGGGCAAACACCAGAATTATTGCTTCTCTCCGCAGCATCTTGCTCTTTGCGTCTCCTGAAGTTTCCGCCACAGACATAGCATTTCCCGTGGTTCCTGGTAATGGGCAAGAACATACCCGGCCTCACAACCATCTGTATAAATCCTCCCCTCGTTCACATATTTAATACCTGACCCGTTCTTGTTCATCTTGTCTATCCATATGCCCATTGCAACATCCTCTAGCTTGAACATCTGCATGATTAACATCCTTTCATTTAATACAATGAAATGCAAACTCCATTAAACAGCATAAATTAGTGAAATGTATCTAATAAAACAACTTTGCCAACTCTTCAAGGCATCTTGATTCTAGAATTCCTTCACATTGTATGTAACAAGCACCGTGCTATGCTTTGAGGCTTGCACAAATAGTTTTCCTGTTATGTCAAATATGGGGGAATCACATGAAGCAGGTGAGATTCAGTACCTTTAAATGACCATCATTGTGCTGCTTGTACACTGCCTCTGCAATGTCATGTGACACCACATATCCTGGACCATGAGCCCAAGGGGGGTATTTCTCGCTAGGCCAGTCCTTCATGAAAGTTAATAGTGGATGAGCAAAGAAGAATACACAAAGCAGAACAACAAATAATTTCTGGAAGACTCCAAAAAATATTCTGGAAGACACTTTAGTTATTTGGGACAATTTTGGACTTCAATCCAAAAACAACTAGTGATGGTTCAATCCATATATCTATAGTGCATTATAGTAAAGAATATTTGATGAAAATATTTCAAAAGGGTTAATGACATATATGAAAAGTTCATCTCACTTATGTCAAGATGAGAATTCAGTTCAGAAAATACTTACTGCCACCTTAACATGAAACAAAAGAGAGTAGAATTGTGTATTTCATGATTAGTTTTTATATTGTCGACTGCCCTTTTGTCTTAGAGCTCAGTTTGAAAATAAGTGGATGCTTCTATATAATTTGGAAATCAGAAAAATAATTTCATAAATAGACACAAGAAAAACAATTTAAAAGAAGAATAACTTGATATATCGTCGATTGCCCTTGTGTCTTAGAACTCATTTTGAAAATAAGTGGATGCTTCTATAATTTTGAAAATAGAAGAATAACTTAAATAGACACAAGAAAAACAATTTTACCTCAGGTGATATGTACCATTTGCTCTCCACATTTCGGTGTGGTTGGGAATCAGAGTTGATCCTACCAAATAACAGCCCACTTGTGATATTAGTTGTCATTAATGCAGAAAGCACCTCATCAACACGAACAAAAGCATCATCATCTGTTTTCATGATGTACTTGGCCGATACAACATTTGTCTATCAGAACAGGCAAAATAGAACTTTTAGAGAAGGCAAACTAACAAATATACTAGGTAGAAGATAGGTCTTCATGAATTAGTGTACAAACTTACCCCATAAATACATATGGCTATGGTTTTCCAGGTAATCAAACTGTAATAGTCAACAAATGGCATCAGTTGGATATCTCCATATGTGGAAGCCTCATTCCAAAGCTCCTCATTTACCATTTGATTTTTATGCTGTTCGAAAAACCAGAGAACATTTAGGTATGCCAACTTGTACAAGCTACCAAGAATGGCTTAAGATCACGAAAGATAGAAGAACACAACACGAGTAACTTCAATCAAACTCTCAGAAGTAAAATAAAACTTCCTAGAAGGTACTTTGTGATTGGATAACAGAAAAAACACAGGCAATATAGTCCCAATCACAAAAACTTAAAAATGTAGAAATGCAAAATAAAATTTTGTTTAATAATGCAACTATCAGTTAAGAACAACTAACACGATTGGCAAGACTACACAGAACAAGTGACATGATGAGCAAGACAAATTTCCTAGTTAGAATAGGAGCGGTCCGTGCTCTAGTAATTATCATTTAAAATTTTGCAAATATTTTTTTATCTTTATCATTATAACTGGAGTCTTATTTTGAGCCTTGGTGATGCTGAAATGGCCTATTATGTATATAGATAAGGTTGGGAAAGTCCTTATTACCCTCAGGATGTGTGTTCCTAAAGTTCTAGAAGTGTGTTTAGATAAAATTTTGCGGAATGACGAGATTTACGAAATGTTCTTTTTTTCTCCATTAGATCTCTTAGCTATACATGTGTATATATATTACATTGTAGGCCTAGTCTCTTTTAAGACTAATAATAGAGTTAAATAGATTACTAAATATTCTTCTATCCTCTTCTCTTTAAGCAGGCCATTTCTTTTCCTAAATTAGATAAAACCAAATAGAAAATGTCAAAAGATACCACTATAGTTCAGTGGAAAGATCTAATGAAGTTAGATATTTTTCACAGTATGGCAGCATAAATTTCTCACTGTAATATGCATCTCAATGTCGCATGTCAAGTGGTTGTGTTCTATTGTGATAAATCTCTAAAGTGACACTGCTGTACAAGAAATGGAAAAAAATGCATATACTTCAATCTTGCATTGAAGTTAACTAGCAGTTCATAATTTACAAGGGAATGACCATTTCTCAATAAGCCAGCAAAAAAAGAAGAAAAAAAGATAGATGCTCAATGTGTCCAAGTAATGCCAACTGAATTTTAAGACATTGATGCACCTGCTTACCAGGCCTACAAAAAAGCGCACTACAACTGCTCCAGTACGTACAAGATCGTATTGCATCCATGTTCTTCTGACTGCCATTCTATGTTTGAAATTGTTTGCTGTTGAAATGATGCCAATAAAAAATTTGACAGCTTGGTGTATGGGCAAAGGATTTGACTTTAACAACTCTAAATCGATAACATGCTCTAAGTCCTCTGATGTAGGTAAGCCACTGGCAAGGACTGATATCAACTTCATGTCCCCTGAAATCCTTACTTCATTGACAAGCCATGGCTCCAAGGTCTGACCAATCAAAAAGTTATTTGAACACAAAATGTCAGTCAATCATTAAAGTTATAGAAACGGCTGAAAAGAAAAAAGAAATGATGGGTTTGTTGCAGTAACAGTACTTCTCGGAAAGCAAATGAACTTATATGTCTTCCATCTACAGTCACTTGGATTCCCTCGATGCCTACCCTAATGGTAGTAATGGAAAGATATCCTTGCTTAAAAGGGAAATATCTTCTCGGCTTATTGCCCCCTTTTTTGAGTGGAACTGATCTAGAAACATTATGATGCTTATCAGATGCAATGATCCCTTTCTCGTCATTACCAACTATTGCACTACATTGCTCCAAATCATCCACTGCAACAAAAGATCAAAGGAACAATTATAGGAAACACAGAATACAAACGAGACAACCAACACATAATATTGGCTAAGCACATCAGAACAACTGTGGTAAAATTCTTAAATAAGAAATCATAGCCAGGGCTCATGGAAACTAGAGCATACAAGATGACTCCCAGGTGGATATGTGGGGAATAAAGGTACACTTTTTCAAAAACCACATAATAGCAGCTTAATCATTACAAAATTCTCACCATCAGGGGACCGCAAAAAGATTTAGATGTTTTCGCAGCACAAGGAGTGTGCAACTTTAATTAGAACTAGTTATCTTTCCAGAAACTGCCCCATATATCTGGCTTTGGACTTCTTGCTATGTCCAAAAGCAAAATACAATTTCAATAGGAAGTAAAACTGGTCAGATGCCTCCTCTTAGATATCATCAAAATTGAGTGGCAATAGGCCAAGATGGCTTATCAAGAATAAGATAAAGAAGTTCCCTTCAGAAATACCCACCTTAATACTTGTAAAATGATAAACTGTCATGAAGTAAGTTATGTGGAGACTAGGGAAAAACTACAAATTAAATGGAAAGAATGGTAATTGTCTAAGAAGCTGCTTATGTTTCATGTCTTCTAAATTGGACTCGCAAAAGGCAACAAATAATTTATCTTCTGTTTTGTCATCTAGCTCTTGATTTATTGGTTTTTTTACTGTGAGAAGGGCTCAATGTTATTGATCTAAGGAGTCGAGAAAACCATCTTCATCTTACCCCAATGTATATGACACAACACTTGCTACTCTCCAAGCAAGGTAGTAAAGAAGCATTTTTGTATAAACAGCAATAATTAAAAGACACTACAGTTTGATTACACAATCTAAGGGGCACGAGACATGTATGTGGTAGTCAAAACTAAATAATCCATCCGATCTTACGTGCTACCCTTATTCATATCTAACTTTCACTTGCAACAGATCCATGACACATTTAATCTCCATGGCAACCAGCCCCACCAGTCCTTGCTCCTCATTAGCGCTTCGTCCATCCATAACTACATCCACACATCTGCCTTGTGATTTAAAAAAATCTGCAACTTCATTGTTATTTGAGAGGTTGGAGAATCCTTGAAAGATATTTACATTCATCGAAATCATCAAGCAAATAAAAATTATTATATGAGAAAGAATGAAAGTCAGGAAGTGAGCAAAATATGAATTCAGCGCAACAGATTAAAGCTACACCTCTGGATAGAGAAAAGATATCATAGCCAACAACAAAACATGAGCTTCTATACTGTAATGCTTGATATATTGCAAAAAGTTATTACCTTTCTTACTAGTAGGGTGAGTGTCTGAAGGACAACGCTCCTCTGCACCCCAATCATTAGCTACAGACCATGTATTTTGGACAATCACTGGATCCTCTGTTAATTTGTCACCATGAAGGCGGACATTGTAATGAAAGATGATAGGAGGATCAGGTTCACCTGGAGCTGTTCCTATTAAATCAATACGGAAGTTACCAAGAAGGCCACCAGGAGTACCAATTAGAGTTATCGAAGAACCCTGAACCAAACCGCAAGGAAGTTTTAACTTAAATGTATCATAGCCAAATTCTGTAATGTTCATTTTTTTTATAGAATAAGGGCATTGTTTCTCTTTAACTTTCTGCTGTGTACTTCTGTTTGATCTTTTATCCTCGAATACAGCCATAAGGTCTTCCCATGCAGATCCAGCTTCCCTGATAGCCTCAATAGCTTGAGGTAACTGATTGGAATAATTTATTAGATGATCCAAATGATTCCATGTTTGCAATGAATGTTGCTCTGCATCAGAGAGGTTTCTTGGTGCAAAAAGACGGGAGACTATGGCATTAGCAGAAACTACACGAAATCCATTCCCTGGATTTTGAATTGCAGGCAATGCAGAGTCCAACCAATCAAGAGGTTCAGATGAATTGCGAGATAAAGGACTTGGCAACAATCTTTCAGCTAGGGGATTCTCCAATATCCCATACCTCAGAATCAGCAAAGTGAACAGAAATACTAATATAACAGCTCCAGACCATTTCTTCATCTTTCACGAACTGTCTATCCTATAACAATTATCTAGAGCAACTATTCCATTGAACTCAAACCTTTAGGAAGTTAGATGTATATATATCTAGAGTTGATTTTGTTTGCTGGCAAATGTTTAGCAATCAAAGTTCCTGCATTTAGTCAATAGGAATCTCTGCAACATGCCAATAGAAGGAGAAAACATAATCAAAATCATTCGTTCATACTAATTCCTCAGTGTTGACACTAATTTGTATCAAATGATAAAGCAAGAAACAGAGCTAGAGAAACTTCATACGTGGATTGTTTAAGCTCAGAAAGAAATGTCAAAATTCAAAAACTTCAGCTTATTCTCAATACTTCAACAACAAAGAAGTAACTGGATCACATTTGATGGTAAAAAATCAATTCAAGACCAAAGTAAGCAAACAAAAGGCATTTCTTTCGAGGTACAAAATGTAGAATAGATCCACAACAAATTCTGCTCTCCCATTTTCTTTTGTTTTCAAAATTATGCAACAAATTAGGTTCATAAATTATCTGGAAACAATGAAATTATGACCAGACAACAGGCATGTCTGCAACCAAACGGGACCCTCTACATACATGGTTATATTAGCAACTAAGCTATGCAGATTGCGATCAATCATGTCAAATCTACAGTTAAAAAAGTCAATTAAGGGCCAAAAAGAGAACTGTTTGCGCTCAAATGGCAGCACTAGAAGAAGTATTAAGTCATGAATACTTCTCCCCTTCAGAACACCACCGAGTGGTAAGATACTGAGACCTCCAGATGGTTAGTATCCCAATCTTCTAGCCAGGAACTTTGAGAATTTTTACAAAGGATTTTAACAGGGCGTTTCATTTTACTTTCAGATTGGAAAACAATTCTTCCACACTCAAATAAAGATGCTACTCCCAGTTGAATAGCATTTTTGTCTTTTATTCCCCAAAACATACTCATTTCCGTGAAGATTCCACAGAGAGGGGACGAAACCCTATGAGAGAGACTTCGCAGCAGACAGAAACCGCCCACGATCAACTGCCTCCACCAATCCCCCCATCTTCTAATTTCTCTAAAGCAAATGTTATCCCACACCCCAAAAAATGATCTAAAATAAAGCCTTTACTATTAATTGTTGTTCTCCTCCTCTCTTAGCTGCATCATTATGTGTAAACCAGCTGACCCCAGCGTCAACTCGAAAACAAAAAGGTAAAAACAGCAAGACTAATCTCCGACAGCAAGGAGAGACACAGACAAATCATGGGTTCCAGAAACCAACAAAGAGCTAGAAACAGAACCATGCAAGTACGCGCGAGTTCGCGAAACGAGTGCATCTCGTGGAACCAAACCCGCCGCCAAATCTCGAGGGAAGAATTCGAAAGCACATCATTACAATATTTCTTCAAGAACTAGAATAATCCAAGACGGCAAATATGAAAGGCAAAAAACCAGCGGTAAAAGGGGCAAAAAAGCACTAGTTTTTCGTCAAACAAGAAGAAGAATGAGCTTCCAGCTAACAAGAAAACAGGACCAATCACACACAGAAGAGCATTCCAGTTCGAACCTCGCTCAAACAAAGCGACACACAGAATCAAGTAAGAGAAGAGAAGAAGAGCAGTACCCGGTTGCCTTCTTTCCAGAGACGGCGTATGATTTCGGCTGGGAACAAATGGGGGGAGAAAGGGAGCACAAATTCCCTCTTCGTTCGCGTCTTCCTCGCCAAAACATCCAGCGAGAGAGAGAGAGAGAGAGAGAGAGGGGAGAGAGAGAGAGAGTCGAACAAGCTGGATTCGAGCGAGCGACGTCTGAGCGGTTAGAATAAGGTTCGGTTAGCAGCACCGAGTCGGAAGGCCAACTGACCGATTTGCACCGGAGGATATGAGCATTCGTGAGTGGGGTAAGCTCACCGCCCTTGCACCGCCCCCTGAAAACAAGCCACCGGAAGAGACAGAGCAGAGTCGGTAAACCTGCCTTCGCTTCGCTTCCTATTTCTTCTTCTTCTTCCCCTCGTCGTCGTCCTTCGCCGGTAAAGGAAAAGAAATCCGAGCGGTTGTTGAATTCCCCGCCCGACTCTTCATGCTGAATTCTTCTACGCTTGCGTCTTCGCCCCGAGAGCTACCCGCCTCTTCAATGGACACAACTCAGGCCCCCACTGATTCGAACACTCATCTGTCCAGTGTTCGGAGTGTCGTACTTGGATCAGGTACGAAAACAAGTGTGGGTCCCTGACGAGAGGGTGCAAATGCCGGGTTTGACCAGCGGCCTCTTTTGGTTTTCGGTTTGTTTAAAAGGTATAGTTTACCTACCCGCTTTGTTCTAACTCAAATCTCGTACCTCTCATTCGGGTGCGCCCTCGCCACTGAGTAAACCCGTCGCATGTCAGGTGGAAGAACGGGTAATTAATGAGGAAGCCAGAAAAGTGTTGCGCTCTTTCGACTCGGAAGACTTTTGGGGAAGGGGGATAGTTGGCACCTTCCTCTTTACCCGGTCGCATGCGTCCCCGGTTACGGGATGGAGTTAACCATATAAAATTCCCTACTTAAAACCTTTGATCGTCCAACGTAGAGACGGCTGCGGGGCGGCTTTTATGGCCCATTCAAATTCTAAATTTGACTAACTAAACCTGAATAAATATTGGTTAAATTTTATTTAAATTATCGATAGACACAAGTACTATGAAGAAATTTTAAATATATTATTATTATTTAATTATAGAATATGTAACTCAACTATTGACCAATGCTAAATGTTATGTGCGGATTTGAGTGTTCTTCGACGACTGTGTGATTATTTTTTTTTGACTTAAGAGTTCGTCCGGAGGGAGGGGATGTTTTCTTTCTCGATTAGTTCTCCTTGTATGACCCTCAAGAGGAACTCTAGTATTAGATTTCATAAGTTTGAATATGTTCGGTAATTTTGTATTAGATTTGCTAGAGATAGCCTATTGAACTTGTGTTAATGCTTATGATAAAATAAACTGACAATTGTAAGTCATTGAAGGCTGGTGTGGTAAGATAGGGATTTCACAATCATAACGTTAATGTAAATATTATAGTACGAGATGATAAGTATAAAGAGATAATACGAGGGGATGAGATCATCATTGCGAGAAGGATAAAAAGGTAATACAATACCAGTAATTGGAGAATATTGAGGGTGGTAGTGAAAAGTTGATTCCTCATTCCATCCCCTTAGTGAAGTTCACGGAGAAAGCCGTAGAGGTCTTCCATAGATCAACTGATGAAGTCATCGAGATAGATTTAGGGTTTCTTCTATAGGAAGAAGATCCCGAGTGGATAAGAGACATTTGTAGCCAAGGACATAAGGCGAGGAAGAAACCAACTCAAAGAAGTGCTAACCCTCTTTTGTGTTCTCTTAAACATCACTAAAAAAACCTTAAAACCTAATAGGGTGATAGAGCTATGGAGCCTAATGGTTTTGTCTCTCACGATCAAGAGACATTTCCTAGTAATTTGTCTCCACGAATTTCCTATCTTGGAATTACAAGGGTGATACTAAGAAAGAATACTTAAACATATCTCAAATTTTTAATTAAAGAGAATAAATTTGTTAAGTTTAATTTGTTAGTATTGGAAAATCTAGGGCGACATTATATGCATAGCGGAAGTACAGAAAATAAAATATCAAAATTCTCATAGAAAAATAAGATTTCATCGTCATACAAAAATTAATATGTAAAAACCCACAAAATTAAAAACTGCGCATATAAGAAAAATATGTTACCTAGGGAGATTGTATATCCCTGAAAACCTATAGATCTATGAGAGATGATGAAGGAGGTCAACTATCCTCCTTGATCCACACAATAGGGGCTGCGAAGATACTCCTCAAATCATTGTCCAAATCTCTTTCTCACGCGCACCACGCACTCAAGAAGGGGTTGTCCCTTCTTACTATCCACACGCCTCAAATAAGGTCTACAGTATGAGGAGGAGAGAGAGAGGAGAATAGGATGAGACAACAAAAAAAAATATAGCCCATGCCTCTTTTGTTTCCTCTTATTTATAGAGATCCTTTATCAACTTACCCTAATAGATTATGTCATATTGGGTATTGGATCTCCAGCTAAATTATCCATGCTACTTAGATTAGTAGGTATCTACGCAATAATCTCTCATTGACTCTTATTGAATCTCATTCATAGGATCCAACAATTCAGGGGCTTATTTGATATTGAATAAGATAGGGGCTCTAGTGAATATCTCATATTTGTCATACCTGTCAAAACTCCTTCTAGCTCAGTGAATTATTATCTCCATAATAATTCACTCGATTCATTGACTGCGGACATATTAAGTTACTACATTGTAATCCCCAAATGATACATGGGAATATAATCTATTGGACTTGTCTGTCCTCAATTGCCATATATATATATTCTCTCATCCATTTAATACCCCAGAGGTCATATACCGGGTATGATTTTATCAAGCCTATATGATTTCTACTTAAGTCTCACTCTAATTGGATTCTCCCGGATAACTTTTTCTCTCAAAATTTGAATGACCCTGACTAGTGATTTGTTTGAGTGAAAACACATGGGATATTCCTCTCATGACATTGAGAACGGATGATCCTCTATTGACATTTAATAGCCCTCGTAAGGTTGTCTACTACTTTCAATGATCGGTTGTACTAGATCTAGAACTTCCAGATCTAGATGACTCACTCGTTACATAATTTACATAGATGACTTCACTCTTACTTAGTGTTACATGTTGGGCTCTATGACTCCCAAGTTACAAATACAACATGAAAAGATGGATGTCATATATATTCTCCTACATGTCCATAAATTGTTCGAGGAATAGGGAAGGACTCAGCGATATAAAATATCAAATAGCATCTTCCACACTAGGATGACTAAGGGGACACCGGTTCAGGACCATATCCTAAGGATGATTGAGTAAATAAAGAAACTCACAGGTCTAGGAATTATCCTAAAGGATAACCTATGTATTGAACTTGTGCTTCAATCCCTACCAAATTTATTTTCTCAATTCATAATGAATTTTAATATGAATAAACTTAATGTGACTCTCCATGAGTTCCTTAAATATGTTGTGGGAGGCAGAGAATACTGTTAAGAAAGAGAAGTCAATTCTCTATACTAGTGAGACAAGAAAGAAATAGAATGTAGAAAAGTCTCTTAAGAATGGCAAGAGTAAGGGTAGACCAGGTAAAGCAAATGTTGCTAAGAATGACTCGACAAAGGACAAAGGTCAATGTTTTTAATATAGCAAAGATGTGCACAAAGAGGAACTACAAAGAGTACCTTACAGAGAGGGTAAAACAAAAGCTTGAAGAAGCTTTATGTACATTCATAATCAATCTTTATTTGTCATATTTATGTGATAACACATGTGTATTGAATATCGGTAGTGCTTATCATATTTGTAATTCATTATAGGTTCTGGCAAGACTTAAGAGACTAGCAAGAGGCGAGATGGACCTCAAGATAGGTAATAAAGTAAAAGTTGCTGCAATAGCTATTGGCGATGTCACTCTACATCTCCTTAATGGAGTTATCATTACATTAGATGCATGCTATTTTGTTCCTTCTATTATCAAAATTATTATTTTTATTTCATATTTGATAGTTAGTAGATATAAATTAGTTTTTATGAATAATGATTATTCAATATTATTATATGTTAAGATCATCATGAGAGGAATATTTTGTTTATGCTAGATACTACTCCACATATCATGAATGTAAGTGTGTCTAAGAGGAAACAAGATAAAGTGAACAATGTATACTTGTGGCATTATAGGCTAGTTCATATCTATGAGGAAAGAATTCAAAAGTCGCTAAATGATGAATATTTAAATACATTCGACTATAAGTCATATATAACTTGCGAGCCTTGCTTTCATGGAAAACTGACTAACTCTCTATTTAGTGGAACCGGAGAGAGAGTCACTGAGCTGCTAGAACTCATATATAGTGATATATGTAGTCTATGTCAACTCATGTCATATGTGGTTACTCCTACTTTATTATTTTTATTGACGATTTCTCAAGGTATGAACATATGTACTTGATGAAATATAAGTCTAAGGCCTTCGAGAAATTCGAGTATAAGAATGAAGTGGAGAACCAGACTGGAAAGAGAATCAAAACTCTTCGATCAGATCGAGGAGGTGAGTACTTGAGTATAGAGTTCACCCAATTCCTCAATGATCATAAGATTTTATCCCAATAGACACCTCTTTATACACCTCAACTCAATGGTATATCTGAAAGGAGGAATCGTATATTGTTAGATATGATGTGGTCCATAATGAGTTTCGCCGACCTACCCATCTTATTCTGGGGATACCCCCTAGAGATCGTAGCTTACCTTCTAAACATAGTTTCAACTAAGTTGATAGCGTCTACACCATATGAGATGTGAAAAATGAAGAATCTCGATCTTAAGATTGTTAAAATTTGAGGCTATATTGCTCACGTTAAAATACATAACCCTGATTAATTGGAATATAAGACGGAGTAGTGCAAGTTCATACAATATCCTAAGGAAACTTATGAGTCTTATTTCTATCACCCCGTGGATCAAAAAGTCTTTGTAGCTAAGAGAGCGGTGTTCCTTGATAAGAAACACATTCTTGACGGAGATAGTGAGAGCATTATATAGTTGAGTGAGGTTAGAAAACCTGGCTCAAGAATCACTCTATAGCTCAAGTTTGTTCAGGTACATAACACACAAGTTCCAACTTTACGTAAGTTTAGCAGAGTATCTCATCCTCCGTAGAGATATGTGAGATATATTAGATGAGAGAATGTGAGAATATTAATCCTTAGACCTATGAGGATGCTATTACGAGTATAGACTTCGGGAAATGATAAGAAGTCATGAATTCTGAAATGGATTTTATATACTTTAACAATGTTTGAAACTTAGTTAAGGTATTGTACCCATTGGTTGCAATTGAGTTTTCAAGAAGAAGATCGGAGTAGATAAAAAGGTAAAGACCTATAAAGTAAGACTAATGACTAAGGGGTATTGTTAAAGATAATTTGTTGACTATGACGAAATCTTCTCACTCGTAGTCATGCTAAAATCCATCTGAATTCTATTGGCTATTGTGGTACACAATGATTATGAGATTTGACAAATGGATGTGAAAATCATGTTCCTCAATGACAACCTCGAAGAGGAGTTATATATGAGACAATATAAGGGATTCGTGTCCAAGGACAACTCAGATAAGGTGTGTAGATTGCTTAGATTCATTTATGGACTAAAGCAAGCTTTCCGAAGTTAGAACATAAGATTTGATGAGGTAATGAGATCTTATGACTTTATTAAGAACGAAGATGAACTTTGTGTGTACATGAAGGTAAATGAGAGTGCTATCACATTCTTAATGTTATATATGTATGACATTCTGTTCATTGGAAATGATGTATGAACGCTCTCCATAATAAAGGTTTGGTTATCTACACACTTCTCCATGAAGGACTGAAGGGAAGCATCTTACATCTTGAGGATTTAAATCTATAGAGATAGATCCAAGATAATGCTTGGCTTATCCCAAGTACATAGATACCATTGTCAAAAGGTTTAGTATGAAAAATTAAAAGAAAACTTACACCAATGAGACATAAGATATCGTTTTCTAAGGATATGTCCCCAAAAATTTCTGAAAAAAGGGTGAAGATGGATATAATACCCTATGCCTCAACGATAAGATCTATCATGTATGTCATACTATGGATCAGGCCTGATACAACACATGTTCTATGTGTCATGAGCAAGTATCAAGCAGATCTAGACTTGAAGCTATAAGTGGTCCTATTGATTTTATAATATGATATACAAATTGTTAGCTAAAATCTTAGCTAATATAATTAAAAAATTTCTAAAGAAATTTATTAGTTAAGAATAGTCTGATTTTATTCCCCGTTGTAATATTTATGATAATATTTTTATAATTATGGAGTTTTCTCACAATAAATTATGGTTAGGTCTAAAGGTAAATACCTATTAGTTTTTGTGAAGATTAATTTCAAAAATATATATGATAAGATCTTATATGAGCTAATTAAGGAGATGCTTTACTACCCATAAAGATTAGTTTTCTCACAATGAATTATGGTTAGGTCTAAAACTAAATACCTATTAGTTTTTGTGAAGATTAATTTCAAAAACATATATGATAAGATCTTATATGAGCTAATTAAGGAGATCTTATATGAGCTAATCAACTTATCTCTATACCTCACTTATGTATTGTCTCATCAATGGAAAGATTTCCAAGTGTTTTATTACCCATAAAGGTATTCATTAAGGAGACCAGATAACTTCTTACCTTTTTATAAGGTGCTCAGTTGTATGCTACATAATAAGATTGAAAAGGGCAAAATTACTTCGTTCAACATTAGCGATCAATGCATATCCTATTTGGTTTATGTGAATGACATCCTACTTATCTTTAGAGTAAATCCCAAGTCTTTCAAGAATATTATTTCTATGCTTAACTTATTCATTACTCTAATCTCAAAGTTAGCCTTATCAAATTTGATATTTTATTTCTCGACAATTATTCCCTCAACACGAAGCACCATATATATAACAGAGAAAGGTTGATAATAGAGAAAGGTAAAAATAGGTAATTTAATAATTCACTATTTTTCTATAATGTATATATAATTAATATAAATAGGTAAAAATGATAAATAATTTTAAATCGAATAATAGAAAATAATTAATAATTGGATTTTTTTTAGTGAAATATTTATTTGTGAAAAGAAATTTTAAAGATATACAATAATATAAAATATTTAATTATTTTTCACTGAGAATCTACATGCAATAGTAGTATGGCACTGAAACATATACAATAAACTTAATTGAACTGAAACATCCATGGATGACAGTCAGATCGATCCATATGGCACGATCCTTACTCCCACATATAATTATATTTAGATGAAATTTGGATCATCAATTCGACGTGATAAGATTAATCTGATTTATCTTTTTTTCGTGTGTGATTGTATCTTTAAGAGGAATAGAGATTTGATAGCTTTAGATAAAAAATATGTTTCTGAATCGGATTCGGATTATTTGGATTCTTAATTGGGTTCGGGTGCGTTAACGGGTGTGGTGCGAATCGGCGCCAACCACGAATCCACCCTGTTTGGTGGTTGGTAGATGCAGCTGATTTATTTACTTGGAAGAAGCAACGAGGGCCGAAAGCGAGTCGAACGGGCAATCAATCGCGAGGTCGGCGGCTTCCCGCTGCAACCAACGGCCACGGACGCCGGATCGGACCGTGAGCACCCGCAGTTGAATGGGGATTTCCTGTCTGAGTCCAGACACGGCAGCGTCCGGGAGGACCGGGTATTTGTTCCTTTTTCTTCTTGTGGTGGTGGGCCCTAGTGACTAGGCAGTGAAGCGGCATCACGAGTCGGTCGTGGTGCTCGCTCCGCGGGTACGGAGTCTGGATCCTGAATTCGACGCAATTGGGTAACTACCTCGAAGTTGGCGTGGGCAATTTGTGTTCTTCCGTCGCGCTTATTACATGGGATGCGAATCTACAGGGAACGAGGGCGAGGCACAACGCATACACGAGGCACAGAGAGAGAGAGAGAGAGAGAGAGAGAGAGAGAGAGAGCCTGCTTCGCATATTGTTTGGCGATCTCCGTCGGGTGTCGATCCTTGGACAGGGGGAAGATATCACGGCCGAAAAGGTAATATAGCTTCCTCCCTCTCTATTTTGGTTACTCATCGTCTTTTGTGGTTGAATTTGATGCGTTCGTTGCTGCGCATTCCTGTATCTGTCTGGTTCGAGTCGGTCCCTGTAGATCTTTGTATGATCAATTTGGTATCGCGTAAACTGATTGGGTAGGGAGGTAGCCGGATCGAGATCTCTCGGTTTCATGCCTGGGATCTGAGATCTGCATCGCCGTAGACTCGGAAGATTTTGGTTATTTTGCTGCCTCGGTCTGTTTTTTTTTATTCGGACAGAGGATAGCTTGATCTCTTGTCTCGTGATCTCCGAAGATATCTGGATGAATGTCGAATGGCAACCTTCTTCTTCTCCGTTCACTTGCTATTGGATAGTACCTGGAATTAGGTTCTCGATCTCTCTGGAAATTTGCTATCAAGATCTTGTGAAAAGAAGACTAGATTCCGATGCACATATCTTTTGATTTATTATGGTATACGAAACTTCAAGCACCGTCCGTTCTATTTTGGAGTCTTTTCTCGCCGAGGTATTGGTTGTCGGTACACATATCTCTGGACTCGTTGATTTCATTACGCCTCTTGGATCCGATCAGTAGGTGGATGGTTGGTCCCCTGGATGATATTTCGTGGTTGTCTTTTTCCTTCGTGTTGATTTATTTTGAATCTTGATTCGTGGGTCCAATTTGGTGCCCTGCTTTTCCATTCTCCTACTATTTTGACAGCTTTTCTTCGCTTTGAATCGTCTACTCGCAGCCAAAAGAGGTTGGGCCTGATGGGAACCTCGGTGCACTTTATTTGCTTTTGAGCCCTATGGTGGCCTAGAAATGTTTGCCACCACACAAAATAGTAAAGTGCCCATTTAACACTTCTGCTTTGGGTGTTTCAGGGAGGAAACAGAAACATCACTTCAGTTTTGTTTTTGATTTTTTTTGTTTCTAAACTCCATGGGGATTTTCATCGGAAGATTTAGAGGGTGGATCTTTAGTGGCTTGGGTGTGATAACGACTGCTTGATCATCGTGGAACTTATAAAAGTAGAAAGTTGACTAAATCTTTTCCAAGTCACAGATTCCTACTCCCAGAAACCACCAAGATATCATAAATAATTTAGAAAAAATTGAAGTACTAGAAATGAATGAACTAAACAGTCTTTTTGCATCAGTTTCTCACATCTAATTTTCAAGCAAGAGGAGAAAAGAAATAGAAGCTCAATGGGCTTGTAATTTGGTTGATTGAGTAACAAAATGCGCCTGATGGTAGCCATCTTTGGGTCTCTTTTAGTGATGAAATAAAGGTTCTTTTAAGGGAGAAAGAATGTAACTTTATTAACCTTTGGTTCTAATGTACTTTGTCCTCAAAAGTCCTCTCTGGGATGAAAAACCATGCATAAATTTTGCATACTTCCCCCTCTAAAACAAACCCCCCTCCTTCCCCCCCTCCTTTTCTTATTTTCCATTCTTTTCTTTAATGCTTTACTTTAAGTTCTTTCACATAATTATAGCAGCTGAGATGTTTCATATGTCTTATCATCATTGTACCACATGTTATAGGATAGAGATTTTTTTTTTTGGCGATTTTGTATAATTTCCAGATCAGAGGGATTGACCTTTATTTTTAGAGCTCTATTTCTTAACTAATAAGTTTGAAACTAAAGGCTTCCTATTGCAGTTAGATGTTCTTAAGTCTTCCTTTAGTTTAATTGCCAATGGAATCTTCATTTTTTTGACCTATCTTATATGCATATATAATGGATTTAAACACCGATGGACTGGTATGAACCAACCAGGATTTACCAGGCCCATCAACACCTGTATAAAAACATGTACTTCGTTAACAGCATATGTAGACATTCACTTTTATGTTTTTCTCTTTTGATTTGTTAGGTTACTGATACTGGTATTAGTTTGACATTTAAATCCTTGATCTAGTAGTTTATTGTCATGTTGAAGTTAGCCACATCTTATTTTTAATTCAACATGAGTGCAATATTAATTTGATTGACTTTAAAATCACATTTGTTTCATTATCTTATCATCATTGCTCCGTCTGTTTTGAGATAGAGATTCCTTTTTTGTGGTTTTGTAGAATATCTGGATCAGAGGGCTTGACCATATCCTACGGCAATTAAATTTTCTTATGTCTACCTTTAGTTTTAATGTAATGGAATCTTTAGTATTTGGACCTTCAAGATATGCATATATAATGGATTTAAACATGTATGGACTGGTATGGACTAACCAGTATCTACTGGTCGGATCAAGTACCTGTCTGAAACTGTATAGTTCAACAACGGTATATAGACATTGACTTGTCTAATTTATTTTTTGATTTTTTAGGTTACTGAGACTGGTATTAAACTGGCATTTAATTATTTAATCTATATGGTTTGTCATAATGAAGTTTGTCACATCACAGTTGTAATTGAACATGAACGGGGTATGATCTGATCAATGTGTAATTGTATTGATATAGATGATGTTTGCGCAATGTTTTTAAGTGACAAGAAGTGTTTAAGAAAATAGTTTATGGATTTTTCTACTCCGAAAGACCTGCTGTTCCATGATAATAGCATTTTTGTGCCTATATCTGCAGAATACATAGATATGTTGAAGAAGTTTCACTCATTTGGGCTATATGCTTAATTTTTTTGGTCTTCGTCGTCCTTTCTCTTTTTCTTTTGTCATCAAAATAAGACAAAAATATAGACAACTAGTAAGATTGAACCAAATTGTATTCTCTATCAATTGGTTAAATGACACAATGGCTTGCTTCTTAGTGTGCATTTGACGGTATGAAGTTTTGGATGACAAGAGAGAATGTTAGAGAGAATGACATTAACAGTGCATTTTAGTCAATATACGAAGGTTTCGGTTGGTTGCTGATAAATTTGTACCAAGCCTTGTCTAGCTGGTGCAAGAGGTTATTGTTCGGTGTATGCTAAGTTTTCAAGGATATGCAAACAACTACTTTTTTGGGGAATTATATGTTCAAATGCTGGCATTATGAGCATTGTGCAGCTGCAAAATCCCCTTATTGTTTATATTACAAATAAACCATGTATATGAAAATTACTTGTCAACCCATCAGCTATAATGCATAAATTGACTGGGAGAATTTATTTGTAATTTCTGCGATTCTAACCAACATTTGACTCAAAATGTAATTATCTTATAAGTCCTTTTTTCTTTTTTTTTTCTTCTTTCTAACATCACTTACTTGCAAGCCAGTAAAGGTAACTCCTAATAGTTGTTATGACTTATCATAAGTTTCATGAACTGGTGATCATGGATAGAAACCCTACTTTTTCAGTGTTATATCAGAATTATTAGTACCATATGTGTCCATGTCCTGTGCCGATGTCTTTGCCTCGTAGGTAGCAGCTGTGTCATTTGAGTAAATTACATTTTGTTACAAGTTGTGTTATGGAAGCAAAAATCTGTAAGCCATATTTGGCACACTGAACTTTGTTAACTTTAAAGGTAACTATCATTAACGAAGCATACTCTCTTCTAATGCCAAAATAGTAGGATGCATCCTTTACCTAATTAATTTTGTTTTTTTCTATCTCTTAATGATTCCTTTCATGCATAAGTTTTAGTATTCTTGGGTTCCTTTATCATGATTTAGATGGAATTCTACAACTTTGAATGACTCCTGATTTTTTTGTATAAATATCAGGATTTATATTCTTAGCTCTTCCTATCGCACTTTAAGATGACATCAACAGCAGTTACAGCTGCCTCTATTGGTTCAGTTTGTGCACAACCTAGCTTGGGGGCAAGATCCAAGCCCTCTGGCTTGAGTTTTAGTTGCTCAAAGACCATCAATGTTTTCAGTGGCCTTAAAGCATCATCATCAGTTGTTATCGAAGCAGATACGTCATTTTTGGGAAAGGAAGGCATTGCATCTCTCCAGGCATCTTTTGTTCCCAAGATTAGACCAAAACAAGTATTTTCAAATCAACTCCAGCCCCGAGCATCCTCATTTAAGGTGGCTGTCCTTGGGGCTGCTGGTGGTATTGGCCAACCCCTTGGACTTCTTATCAAGATGTCTCCCTTGGTTTCAGCACTGCATCTTTATGATATTGCAAATGTTAAAGGAGTAGCTGCAGACCTTAGCCATTGCAATACCCCTGCCAAAGTTTTGGATTTCACTGGACAATCAGAGTTAGCCAATTGTTTGAAGGGAATGGATGTGGTTGTCATTCCTGCAGGAGTTCCGAGGAAACCAGGCATGACCCGGGATGATTTATTCAATATCAATGCTGGCATTGTGAAGACACTGGTTGAAGCTGTCGCTGACAATTGCCCCGATGCCTTCATCCATATCATCAGCAACCCAGTGAACTCTACTGTTCCCATAGCCGCAGAAGTACTTAAGCAAAAGGGTGTTTACAATCCTAAGAAGCTTTTTGGAGTGACTACTCTTGATGTCGTCAGAGCTAACGCTTTTGTTGCTCAAAAGAAGAACCTGAAGCTCATTGATGTTGACGTACCAGTTATAGGAGGACATGCTGGAATTACTATCTTACCATTGTTGTCAAAGACGAGGCCATCGGCAACATTTACTGATGAAGAAGTTGAAAAGCTGACTCTAAGAATACAGAATGCTGGGACAGAGGTTGTCGAGGCAAAAGCTGGTGCTGGGTCTGCAACCCTATCGATGGCGTATGCAGCAGCACGGTTTGTCGAGTCATCGCTTCGTGCTCTTGATGGTGATGGGGATGTTTACGAGTGCTGTTTTGTTGAGTCTGAGCTAACCGAGCTGCCCTTCTTTGCATCACGAGTTAAGCTTGGGAAGAATGGTATAGAAGCATTTATATCTGCTGACCTCCAAGGTCTGACAGACTATGAGGCCAAGGCGCTGGAAGCACTTAAGCCGGAGCTGAAGACCAGCATTGAGAAGGGTGTGGCATTTGTCCACAAGCAGGCAGCAACAGCAAGTGCCGCTGCCTCTGCTAATTAATTTTAATGTTGCTTCCTCCTCTTCTTGAGCAGTTGGTTCCAGGAGAATAGAATAAAGACCGGGATGACCATTTCATTCCGTTTTGATACTAAAGCAGGTTATCTATTGTTCTAAGTTCTAACCGTGAGAAATCGTGTCCTGGATGAGATGCAGTAGGCAGGCTAAATTGGATTGGTTTCAGGGAAGTTCTATATATCTCAGTTGCATTGGGTGTTTAATTTTACATCAACTGGTTTTATTTTTTTTTGTTGGGGAATATTTTTATTGTGTTGTCCGACCACTCTTAAAGACAGATCATTGATCATAGCGGTCAAGACGGCAAAAAATGTTTATCGAGGTCAATCTAATAGTATTTGGAGTAGGTCTGCTTTTTCTTATGGTGGTAAGAAGTAAGCTACTGGTTTTCCCTGTTCTTTTGATGCAACATGATGCACTGGTAAGAAACCTGGGTTTTTAGACATGCGATAACCAATAGCGCACTGAAAGGAGACAAACTGGATTCGGACTCTTTTAACATCGTGTTGATGTTAAGTTTCTCAGCTCGTGATGTTTGCATCAAATGAAGTGCTTGAAACGATCAGAGATTTTCTCGGTTGCCATAAATCAAATTACCTGAACGCTCCGCTTTGAAATGTGTACAGTGTGCTACCATCATACTGCAATGCTAAGCCAGTGTTGCTATCCAACATCCGGAAAGTCGGCTAACCTTTGGCCAAACCAAACCTTGTAAGGCGGCAACCCAAGGTGCGTCTTATTTTGACTTTTTTTTTCTTCTCCTCTCTTTCTTGTGATTCTATCTAAAAAAATGTGTGTTGTGAGATAGAGATCATTGAAAACCAGTTTACTCTTCTTATATTGCAAATCATACATCTGTTAGGTAGCATGAGAGTGAACTAGCCGCAATAAAATTCCAAAGACATGAATGGGAGACACACGACACCTGCTCTGAATCCATCCTAAACCAGCTCTCCCACTTCCAAGCAGCAGCCGTCAAGCTCGAGGAGCTAGTGAACCCGATGCCAGGGAATGCAGGTTAACCAAGGGTTTACTCACTCTCTCTAAGTAATGAAGCTGTAGGTATTTACTTTGATGGTAGATATTTATAGTCTTGATTGCCATCAGTAAAGCGGCAAAATACACCCTCGGAGAGTTATATGAATAATATAATAAAATCAAATTTATTGAACTAATATATTTTTGAGATAAATAACATAGTAAATACTTCGATCATAGACTCGACCATCGAAGAATCAATTATTGAACAGGAGAGTCGAATGTCATGTTAAAAATTAGATGTCGAATCAAAAGATTAGTTAACGTATTAAAGATCTAACTTCATGCTAAATGTTCGGGCATCGTGACAAAAGAATCATATATTACATTGAAAGATTGGATATTGTGAAAAAGTCAATATGCTGATGGAATGGACAATATATCAACAGAAAGAACAATGTGCAAGAAGTTCGAATGAAGTATCGAAAGAGTGGACAATGTATCGAAAGCTTCAAAGATGTATTGGAAGAGCAGTTGATTTATCAAAATTTTAAATGAGATCGTTTTGAACCAATTTGAGTTCAAGTAAGTGGGTTGAAATAAAGTCAACTTATCAAGAAACTGATTGGACTTGAAGTATGACTAAATTAGACTTATTAAAAGATCAAACTAGTGACTTTAGTATGAATTTCATAATAAATTGATATATTTTATTTTTAATAATGAATATATTTCATTAGCATTTAATATATTTTTTATGATTTTTTTTTATTCCTATCGATATGTATGGTTACTGATATTTTTTATATTATATTTATCTTCAGAGTAACCTATGAATTTGCAATAGATTTAAGACTTGGATGGAAGAGATTTTTTTTGTAGAAGTAATTTTGTTTAATTGAATTGTTGCTTTGTGCTGACTTTGAGCATCTCACGAAGTAGGGAACCTAATCGTAGAGGAATCACACACCGCTGGAAACACTCGGCATTCAATGAGCTTAGATGCTAAGGTTTCCACATACACGTAAACTTGATACAATTGCCTATTCTTAGATACGTCCCCTATTGCACTCGATTTCCCAAGTATAATTCGTCGCTTTACTGATGAATACTAGCAGTGATCTCAGCTTCATTACTTAGAGAGAGAGAGAGAGAGAGAGAGAACACTTGGTGCGTGAGCCTTGTCGCTTACTTGCATTCTTTAGGATCGGGAGAAGGTTCACTTGCTCCTTGAGCTTGAGGATTGCTCGGAAGCAGGAGTGCTAGTCTCTGATAGACTCAGAGCAGGTACCGTGCGTCTCCCATTCGTGTCTCCAGAACTTGTTGCTATCGCCACTAGGGCATTCCAAGCTTGATAGGTTCACTATCATGCTACCTAACAGGTCACTCTCTCTCTCACACATTTTATGGATAGAAATCACAAGAAAGAGAGCCACAAGATAGAGAAGAAGAAGAAGAAGTCAAAATAAGGCACCACCTTGGTGGCATCGTAAGGTTTAGTCGGACGATAGTTAGACGAATAAATTCCATCGTTGTTGTTTGGCCAAAGGCCATGGATGCCAAGATCTGATGTGCTTTATGTTGTTGTCTTTACGTGTTGGATTCTCCCGCTGCCAAGATCTGAGAACCCTCTTCTTGTCCTGAAGAACTACGATGCATGGATATCATCATCTTGAGCTTTTTAGGCTTCGATCGGTGAATCCCAAGGAACAAACACAGTCGGTAGCGACCGTCAAGAGCTTCGCTTCTCCTGCTATTTTTCTCATTAGTTAGATCTTCTTTAGATTTTCTAGTGATCTGGATTTCTTGTCGGTTGGCTTTATATAAAATCATAGTGATGTTCTATAAATATCCTGTAAATTGAATAAACAGTGAGTGCATTATGAACCCTATATTTTCTTTCACCAATCGATACTTTGTAGAATTCTATCATTCCATCGAGTTGTTGGCCTCCGTTCCGCAAATCATGTCGCTCTTGTTTTGTGATCACTCCAATCAAATCTTGTCTTAAGAAAACGTGCATTTGGAGAGCAGAATCCAATGAGTCATACACTGAATCGCAGATCCTATTTGCTGAGCTCCTCTCGGATCAAACATAGAACCAATTGGCTCGATGAGACGCCGAATGACAAGCCTAAAACTTATTCTTGACGTTGGGCGTCACCGTGAAGCGAAATCTATTCTGACAACACTCATCCAGAAACGTTGCTCATTTATGCATCTAACATCCGCACGGCAGCCAAATGAAGCAAGTTTTGGTGATGGAGAAGACAAAGTGAGGTCGAGGAGGAATGGCACGACGCCGAAAGCTAAGAAACAGTTGCAACATCACATGGAAAAAGATGCAAGCATTTGGCACAAGGCATCAGAGAGAAAAGAGAGCCAAGGAAGGCCACAGTGAAACGATGAAGGAATTTAGCACCAGAACAGATCAAAAGAGAAAAGAGCACAGTGAAGCACATCCTTCACATCCATTGGCAAGTTCTATGGCTCAAACGCATCCTTGTCAGGCGGAATATAGTCATCCACAGTCACCTCCACATAGAATATAGCACGAACAGCTTCCTTCCATTGCTTCTGTGTCATTCAAATCTCCTTTTCCGGCGCAGGGAGACTTGTGGTTTAAGCTTCTTCGGGGTCTGCAATAGGTTGTCTTCTTGACGAGCACATCACCTGTGACATACCATCTCTCGGGAACAACGACTCGATGCCATGATCTGTACGTGTGCGTCCTCTCGGGGTGCAGCGTGGGCGGTGGAGAAAGAGAGAGATTCTCTCTCTGAAGCATCGCACACGGAACCTGTTCCAGGAGATTGAGAAGCTTGGATCGCCATTGACCGACTCAGTGGTGGCTGGATATCTCTACCTGAGATGACGGAATGGAATCAGCACATCTCTCCATGCCTCTCGTTCTGCATCTGGGTGCAGTGAAACGTCTCCACTCTGCCATTGTTGCTTGTAACATCAATTGGCTCCAAGCTTTGAAGTGGAGACATTAAGGTCAAGAAGTTGCCTCCAAGAATCATGCTTAGTGGCATGTGCACTGCATCCATGTCCATAACATCAACACAATTATTACTCTGATAGCCGCAAAACATCCACCACGAGAAAGTTGCCGGTTTTACTCAGTTTCCACCTCTCTCTCTCTCTCTCTTGTACTGGGAGTAAATGACATATAGTGATACCCAAGCTTATTAACTATGCAGTCTGCATTTAGCATGTAAAAACAACTTGCATGGTGTCACTCGGCTGAGTCAGAGATGTAAGAAGACATGGATAGGAATCACAATCTTATGAAAAGAAAGAACAAGAAGAGAGGGATAAACCAATGGCACCAAAGCAATGGTTGTCCATGTCGAATGGACTGACATTTACGCGGTCCTCAACATGTATTCTGTTCATCAAATGCTGACAAATGTATTGATGAGGACTGCGCAATGCGAGTGACCGCTTGCACTGTTTTCTCCAAACAAAGCCATACCTATCGACCATGAATAGTTGTCACATATTTATGGTAGTGGTGAAGATGGTGCACCAAACTGTGTTGCCATGGTTGAGAGATGCTTCAATAATAAGGCTTTTCGAAAGGTAGGAGTTAGTGCAAGCAACATGCCATTGTCCCTTCCTCGAAAGTTGACTTCTGTGCACAGAATTCCTCAATTAGTGCATATCGATCCCATACATAATTCCTCAATTAGTTGGATAAACAAATAATTTGACTTGAATCATATGCAAGAAGATATGAGCCGACCGATCTTTCTATAATACATGCTATTTTATGCGTTTAGGTGCGAGTTTACATGAAGACTACAAATCTTTATTACCTTAACCACTCAATTTTTAGACCTTTAGCATTAGATTTTTAAGGTCAAACATCAAGAGCAATGGAAGCATATCTCACATGCAAAGCGTGATGAATCTATCTTCTTGTCTTTGTCATCATGGTACCAAACTTAGGTTCATTGTATCTTTTCCACTAAAATAATATTCAAGTGGTTTTGAGTTAAGAAAATAAATACTTAAACATGTTTGACATAAAAAGTAATCGTAATATGCATTAATTGACAAAAACTTCTTCTCTAAAGTAAATCCGTAATGTGTATTAATTGTGTCATTTTAGCCATCGCCTACGAAATCGCAGCACATTAGAATGATGCCTTTGTCTTCTTAGTTGGTCTCGTTTATACGAATCATATTATGAGGAATTTGCCATAGTTTATCTTCATGGTTGACATCCAAAACAATTGGAATCATGTGTCAATTTGGTGTAAGTTCATTCCACTAGAAATAGCATCATTACAACTTCACTATCTCCTAGCATTACTGTGTGAAGGTCTTATTGTCGTTTTGAGATGACAAAAAGTTGTAATTGATACAACCTAAGAACATGAAAATGTTGAAATGCTTATTGATGTCTAATAATTCCATTAACTTTTTAGAATTACTCTTCGGATTTTTGATTTATTAAGCATTGACAACAAAACAAAGGCCAAAATGACAAATCTAATAAATGTGACTGTCATATATATCATACAATGAAAGAACATGAATCATTTGAGGAACAGTACAGTCCATTATATGCATGTATCAGCATCCAAACATGGTACTCAAAACAAAGCAACCAATGAAAGAAGAAAACTCCAGTCAAAACCACTCTTTCCTAAATGATGGTAAGATACGGAGGATTAGCCACTCATGCATCCACAAAAGCTTAGATGTTGTTTGGCTGGCCTTACTAATCCTTCCTCTATTAACTATGGTTTCTCAAGATAGTGCTTTCTCTCCTTTTGAGATCAAAAGTTAGGATTGGCTAAAACAAATGAGTGCCAAAAAGATCCACAAAAAATTTGATCCCATGTCTTTGACATCTTTCATGTGGAGGTGACGTGTGTGCAAGCTCATGAGAAGAACAACATGAATACTGTGTCCAGGCTTCTTTGTCCAATGCTTGGCATCAACATGAGCAGCTCCCTCTATAAATAGCAGCCTGGAAGGACACAGGAAGACCACACCTTGAGGAGGAGTAGTTCTTGGAGATTGGAAATGGCTTCCCAAACAAGGCCTAACATCTCCAATGAGATCCATGACATAGATGTAGTCACAGCTCAGAGCTCCGTCTCTCCCCGTCTTCTTCACCACGAGAGCTTGAGAGAACTCTTCCCACCCTTCCTTGCAAGAAAGGTGCCGCATGATGCCCCCAACACACACGGTTCACAACGACTACTCGCTTCATCTTCCCTCTGACTCATTCCTGTTCGTGGAGTTTCAGGTCGTTGCTGAGATGATATCCACCTTCTTGCTGGTGTTCGTGACCTGCGGTGCCGGCGCCTTGAACAAGAGCAACTCAGGCGTGGTGTCGCAGCTCGGCGCATCGGTCGCCGGAGGGTTGATCGTCACGGTGATGATCTATGCCGTCGGCCATATATCAGGGGCACACATGAACCCTGCCGTCACCTTCGCCTTCGCCGTCTCGAGGCATTTTCCATGGATTCAGGTGTGTTCATCCACGCATCTCTTCCACTACATCGAATCTCGTCTCTTTGTACCCTTAACTGAGCTTACACCACAGTTTCGAAGCTTTCATCCTTTTACCATCCGAACTAAGAAATAGAATAATGAAATAAACATTTACAAGGCATGCAAATTATTGAGAAGCTGTTGACATACATATAGGCTGCCATATATTTCCTCTATCCTCAGAATACAGCATCATCTATAACAGTCGGTCGGTCATGAAAACAATGAAGCTGCATGTTCTTTGACTCCATACGCATGTACCATACTAGAGAAAAAAACAAGTATTAATGGTGCTGACTGACCATTAATTTTCTTCTTGTAGTTTATAATTCAATAAATAGGAAAAGAATAAAAAAGAGAACAATCTATTTTTCTTTGATAATGAATGTATTGAAGTGTGTAACAGAGACAGAAAAGCAAACCTTTTGTGGTCTATATCACAAGGTATATATTTTGGCTTTCATTAGTAGTTCCAAAAGATAAGTGGCCAAATGACATGTTCAAATTGGATCAAATCATCCCACAATAAAAAAAAAAAGGAGCCAAAATAATCCTTCTCAGAAGAGATTCTTTAAGGTTGCCACCACAAAGCTAGAAAGGGATATGTTCTCAGGTCCCATCAACTCCTTCTCCACCACTGAACTCGCATCGATGCCTCAGTGCCTACCTCTCTTCATGGCTAACCTTTTGCAATCACTTTCAGGTGCCCTTCTACATGTGTGCTCAGATCTCGGGGGCCATGGTCGCCTCCTTCGTCCTCCGGGAGCTGTTGCACCCGATCACCAACCTCGGGACGACGACGCCGTCTGACACGGCGGCGAAGGCATTGGTCATGGAAACCGTGGTCACCTTCTGCATGATGTTCGTCACGTCGGCGGTAGCAACCGATACCAAAGCTGTGAGTCTCCGATGCTTATTCTTGTTCCGACATCCTGCTACTGCATGCATGCTTGTTTGTGACCTATCTTTGTGGTGATACAGGTAGGAGAGTTGGCAGGGTTAGCTGTTGGTTCATCAGTGTGCATAACCTCCATTCTAGCTGGGTAAAACAAGACATCTCATTTTGATCAATTTGTAGTAATTTAGAGACTATCAGGAATGCTAAGCACATGAACCAATCCCAATCTCAATCTTAATCTTGCAAGATCAATCATCATCTAACGTAACATGCACAAACCCTAATATATGTACACATCAGACACAAGCATGATAGCCAGCAGCCACCTGCTCACCAAAACTTTCCATGCCAATAACTAGTGAAAGCAACAAAGATTAGGAACAGCGCTAACACGAGTGAAGTGACTGTAACTCCACTCTTAGGCGATAACAACGCTAAACACAAAGGAAATCGTAGGTATACACACCACTTAAGATGAAATGGAGTTGTGCAGGCCGGTCTCAGGAGGATCGATGAACCCCGCGAGGACATTAGGACCGGCGGTCGCGAGCAGGAATTACCAATCGCTCTGGGTGTATTTTGTTGGCCCGGTGCTGGGCACCGTCTCAGGCTCATTCTCCTACAGCTTCATTAGAATGACTGAGAAGCAGCAGCATACTACTGCTGCACAGAAGCTGTCCTCCTTCAAGCTTCGACGCTTGCAGAGCCAGGAAATGGCGAGCCCCACAAGCAATGCTTTCGAGAATGTGTAGCTTCGTCAGGAGACTATGGGCATTGCTAAGTATCGTCATCTTCTGCAGCTTATGTTAATGATGTATGTCCGTGTAAGGCCGTGCCTCTTAAGCCGGTGGTAGGCTTCTTAGTTCTGAAGTCACTACTCCTCCTCTGTAATCTATGGTGCAGTTTTAGACTGCATCATCATCTTATGAAGCATTATTATCACCATCATCTGAAAATTCAACTTTCTCGAAGCAATTTATAAACGATCATTTAAGAGGACATGCCATACAAAGCGAAGAAGCTGCATGAGAAATTAATCGCTTAGACTATCATTTTAGGAAAAATAATTTTGACCAGAGCAAGAAAAGAGATGCATAGTTGATTGTTGCTCCATTCTCAACGCACCAAAGATACTGTCGTTAACGAAATGGGATTTCTACCGGAGAAAGAAACGATGTTGACCGAAAGTCCAATGGAAAAATAATAAGAACTTCTAGTGCTGATCATTCAATAGAAAATCTCACCTTTGGAGAGCCGCGTAGCGCATTGTGCTACTGCTTAACGTACGAGTCGATCTTTAACGAAAAGAGGAAGGTCAAAAGAGGTGTGCTTTGACCATGAGACATGCAGAACCGAGTTAGCGAACAAGTAAGAGAGACGAAAAGGTCAAGTCACAACTGCTCTTCTGTCCCCATCTCCTCTCCATCTTTCAGTCGTTTTAGGAGTTGACTTTTGAGGAAGGGTGAGTGCTATTATACATCATGCATTCTTATAGAGGTTTGAAATAGTCTCATTGAGACGACCGGATTCATTTCTTTGTTCTTTTCGATTGGTAACTACAATAATAGAGCAACATTAGGATATGATTTCAAGTACATAAATCACAATAAAACTTTTGACTTGGCATGTAATTCATAAAAAAAAAATAATGGTTTTTTTTAATGAATCTCAAAGTGTTTTTTAAGTCTGTAAATGGCATATATATATATATATATCAACACCCAAACCTTCCACGGATTGTGGCCCCCACCGCCGCAATCAGGGCCGCGTTCTACGCAAATCACGTCATGCCGCGTCTTCCACTACGCGGTGAACCAAATCGCCGTCAACGACTAACGCCTCCTACCAGCCGTCACTCGCTTTCCAAAGAATACAAATGCTTTTACTTCTATTTTAAGTACCCGTTCATCTACCTTTTCTACAATTGGCCGGTTTGGTGGTATCGGAATTCACTCCATTCATTATTCAGGTATGCCCGTTGGTTCTTTAGGAACGGAAAGTAAAGTATCGCTCCACGAGTCGTATTACAAATACCTGACTGTTTTACCTGCCTTTCAATTGGAAAGACGTTTTATGATGGCGTGATGATTTATCCTCAGGGCCACCAAAGGTTGCCAATGGTAACGTAGGTAGGTCTGTGGGTAATAATGGGTGGTAAACTTTCTACCAACAAGCCTTATATATGAGCTCTATAACAATTGCCTCGCCCCTTCTGATAGCAGCCGTGGACGAACGAAACAAGTGGACGCGTTATTCTTCCGCCCTTTAGAGGTACGCCGATCTCTCTCTTCTTCTCCTTCTTGTAGTTTCCTTGTGGGAATTCTGGATTCTGGTGGAGAAACGCTGTAATTTGTTGTTATTTTTGTTGTCGATCCCCTATTCTCTTTTAGGTTCTGAAATTTGCGCCATTCGATTTGGATTCCATGTCAATTGCGTTTTTTTCGTTCTTTCCCGAGTTTGGTTTATCAGATTTGCTTCTAAATTTTGATTCTTGATTAGGGTGTTCAATGTCATCTAAATAAGATACTCCTCTTCAACCATCAGATTTGCTTCTAAATTTTCAATGTAAATGGCTGATAAAAGGAACAACTTTTTTCAGTTGTCTTGGAATTGCTGGTTTTTGACACATATGAGGTCATCTATTTATGGTTTACAGGAAAGTTTGAGTAGGGATTTTGGTGGTGAAGACGCAGGAAGGTGATGGGCGATCATGTGGTGTTGCACGTTGACCGGTTGATGACTCCCCAAACCGTTGAGACGGAAGGGGGTTCGGCATCTTCAGCGGAAGCTGCCCCTGTCCCCGCTTTGACCCTTTCTTCCATATCGGAAGCCGGCTCAGGCGATGAGAAAGGAGGGCAGGAGGAAAGCAAGGTTGCTGAGGAAGAGGAGCCTCTTATTCAGATGGTAGACTGCCGCATATGCCAAGAGGAGGATCACATCAAAAACTTGGAGGCCCCTTGTGCTTGCAGTGGCAGCCTGAAGGTCTTGGACATTTTGGCAACTTTGTCTTTTTTGGCTTAAATTTTAGCTAACTGCTTTGAGGTCAAAATTCCTCTATAATGGGAATTTACTTCTAAGGTTTTTTTCTAATAAGTTTCTTTAGCTGGCAACTTTGCTTTCTTCTATTTCGTCATTTGATTCATTAAAAGTAAACAGACATGATAAATTGGTTTGTTATGTTACTTGAAGAGATATGAATTTTTATTAGATTTATAATTTTTGTAATACCTCAATTAGTCCCACATCGGAAGTGATCAAGACTAATATTAACTTATAAGGGTCTTATGGATATATTATTGTTAATTTTAACTTAAGTATTCTGGTCAATAGTTTGACCTCAACGAAGTTGATAGAAGTTGTCGGGGTCAGGACTCATACGAGCAACCAGCGAACTGTGTTGAGGATGTCAAGGGGGAGATTGTAACAATCTTACGTTAGGTTTGATGGGTGTACTACTAACAACTTCAGCTTAAGCATTTTAATCAATGGTTTAGGTTTAAGGAAGTTGATAGGCTAGTTATCCGATCAGCCGTGACAATTTCACACTTGTTTTTGTTTGTATGCCTATTCTTTCTTTTCCATTTTATTTATGTCTAAGTTGTTCTCACTTGGATTTTTATGTTGTGCAGTATGCTCATAGGGCCTGTGTGCAGCGTTGGTGTAATGAGAAGGGTGATACAACCTGTGAGATCTGCCATGAGGTGAGTCATGGTTCTAACAATAATTTTTCAGTATTCTCCTCCATGTACGCGTTATTCATGTTCCTTGGTATAGAAGAACATACAGTTTAATATTTTTTTCTTAGATGAGTTTAAAATGTTATTCATAAAAGGGTTTTCATGTGTTTGATGTTCATAATAGTATTTGTCTGTTTATCTATTCATGTTCTGATTCATGGATCACCAGGTATTATATTAATGCGGTAGGAAGTCGATCTTAAATTATTTCCTGGCTTCCAAATCATGGATAATAACTAACATATAATGCTTTGTGATTCATTCAGTCAATACTTTAAGGCTGTTTTTCTGTTTAGCATTACTCATGTTTTCATTTTGTCTTAAGCTTGCAATATATTTTAAGCTTCTTACTCCAAGTGCTTACCTGATTTGACTAAACTGGCGCACTCATATCTGTTGTGTTAAAAGTTAACAGTATTTTTTTAATCTAAAATGTATGTTATTAATTAGCCCTTCCCTATGATTTGCAGCAATATAAACCTGGGTACACTGCACCACCACGAGGGCATCCTGATGAGACCACAATTGAAATCAAGTATGTTCTGTTCATAATTTTTATGACACTTAAATTATGGTGAAGGATTGCAATAACTTTCTCTGACTTAATTTCATATTCTGATTATTGTGATTCTTTTTGTTTGAACTGCAGTGGTGGTTGGATTATTACAGGTTCTCCTTTGGATTTGCATAACCCCCGGATACTAGCCATGGCAACAGCGCAGCGTCACTTAGTTGAAGCTGAATATGATGAATATGCAACAAATGCTAGTGGGGCTGCTTTTTGCCGCTCTGCCGCTCTAATAGTAAGAACCTATTATGAAGTGGAATCAGCCAGTGATGCTTTATTTATTTAATGAACCCTTTCAAAATATAGCTTTTCATTTAAAATTGTGAAGCTTTTAAGTTCTGGCTATTTCACATATCTATTTGTTAGTTATCCTGTAAAATGTACATGAAAATTGTAGTTGTTTTTTATGTAAATTATTTATGTAGACACACATTCCTCTCAATCATAAAATAGCTTCCTTTCATGAAGCAATGAAGATGACATAGGAAGGGAATTATTTTGGAAGAACAAATCCTTTTCCTTTTTTCTGCTCTTTTCAATACGCCTTTTACACCAAGTAAATCAATTATCTTGTGCATTTATTTTTAGGAAATTGTTTCCTCCTTACTCGTGTAGATATCAAACTTTCAGATAAAAGTGGCTAGAGCTGTAACACAATCTCTATAATGATTCAATGGACTGCTTCTTTATTTTATGTAAATGTGCAAAATATATTGTAGTTATGATTGTGTTGTTTCTTTAACGTTTGATCATCATAATAGTTGGTTTCATTGTTTCTTATTTTACAAGTACTTGATTTGGAATGGTATCTATTTTGATTTATATTTCATACAATGATCTCCTAGATAGGTCCATTCAGAGTCACTGCTTTAGTCTTTAAAAAACCACCTACACTGTTTGTTTTCTATTTATTTTTTGTTACATAAGAGGGGGGTGGTTAAACTTGATATAGCTGATATCAAAATTTTGAGATGCACCCAACTTTCTTGTCATGCTACCCTTTTTATTATCCTGATCTTTTCTTGGGCTTTTAAATTTTCATTACATTATTGTTTGCCTCTAGAAGTTAGGTCTGTTTTGTTGGCTTGTGCAGATTTTTTTGCCTAATCTCAACATTAAAAATTGTCAGTCAGGTGCTTGCCAAAAGTATTATCACACGGATAGGTGTTCAAATCTATTGCATACCTGAGTGTTTTATTTGTATACTTATGATTATTTTTTAATTTTTTTTGCAGTTAATGGCTCTTTTGTTGTTGAGGCATGCATTGACCATTACGAATGCTGATGGAGATGATGATGACGACGATGCTTCCACCTACTTTTCAGTAATTGAAAATTAAATAACTACCTTTTTTTTTTCTTTAAGTTCTTGCTTGCCACTAGCTTAAATAACATATAATTGATGATTTTCAGATATTTCTGCTAAGGGCTGCTGGATTTCTGTTGCCATTTTACATCATGGCTTGGGCTATAAGTATTTTGCAGCGTCGACGGCAAAGACAGGTCAGAATTCTTATGATTATAAAATGTCAATGCATTTTGGAACATATTAGATAAAGGATTTGATTTTCTCCAGAGTTGCAAAGATTGAACTTTTAAGGCATGCAAAACAAGCAACGCCACATCCATAGAAAGCAAGTCAACCATAATAGCATAAGTATAAAGACTAATCCCAGTTTTCCATTTTTAATAGTATATCCTTTAAATATTTAAAACAAAATTGTTGTACACAACTAAATACGTGATGGTCATCGTACCAATCCTTTTGACAGATAACTTTCTGCCTATCACTTCCTACATGGAAACCTAGTTCTATGGTGGCACTAGATGAAGCTGGTGCTTTCCAACTGAATTAGTGAGCCTCATGCGGAATAGATCATTATTAGTTCTAGAGATAATATAAGTCAACATGGTACTGTAACCAGTTTAAAAGTCTGGATTTGTAGAAATTGAATTTGCATGCATAAAGTTGATCTAACTCTAGGATCAGTTGAATGTGGACTGCACATGCAGCCCAGAAAACTCCTTACAGTGGCATGGAGGATCAAATCACCAAAACAAACAGTATATGCAATCCACTTATTTTCACATGAATAAAAGCACACTTGGTTTGAGATTACATTGATGTAAATGCATATTTCTTTGTGGATCCATATATAGGTGTTTGATTATGCTGCATCATTACTTGACCACAATTTGAGGGATATCTGTTGTTTTGGATCAAGAATTGATTTACATATAGGAAGCTAGTAAATTGTTTAATCCTGTCTTTTCCTCCCAAAGACCAGTTAAAAAAAATGGCATTATGTGGTTTAAGCCTTTTGTTACCATTCTTCAGTTGTTATCTGCATCTGACATGTTATTTTGAATTCAAATACCCAGGAAGCAGCTACTTTAGCAGCGAGTGAAATGGCATTCATACTGCAGTCTGGCGAACGACGTGGCTTGCACTTCACATTAGCACCAGAGTCACCTGCCACTCCCCACCAAGAGCCACAACAATAACAGTTATTATTTGGAAGCCTCCTGTCTGTAGGCTTTGTTGATACAAGAATAGATTCTTGTCCATTCTTGTAAGCTCCGAGGCATTGGAACCGCAGGTTGCAACTTTGGCAGCATTTTGCTGCCTCCATAGGATGACATTGATATCAATACTCTTCTTTCATTTTGTTGTAAATTTCAGTTGCATGTAACTTCACGCATCCCCGAGGCTAAAGTTTTCAAATTGTACTTATCCAACTCTCTCTCTCTCTCTCTCTCTTTTGTATCAGAAACTTCGTGTTGACCTTTTTTTTTTCATGTTATTATCATGTGAATAAAATGTATAAAGGAAATAAATGTATTTAACATTATTTTCCTCTATATCTCACAGTAGGTACACATGAGTCCATCAGAGCCTTGTGCTTGAGTGGTCATCAACTTGGCTTTAAAACACCAAGCAGAACGTAGCAGATTGTTGTTAGTGTCTCACTTTGCATGATAAGAGATACCAGTTGATAGTGGTATCGGCTGTTGAGAGTATAACATGAGTTCTAGTTATTGTTACCGATCTTATTACCATGATTGACTATTGAGATTTACATTGGAATGTTTTGATGTTGATTATGATCTACTAATATATGTTTTGAGATGATGTTTAAGAGGTTTCCACTTAGCGTGATTGATTTCAGTAGTTCTATCTTTTAGAGTAACTTTCAAATCTTAATTAATTCCAATGTAGAGAGGGTCATCATCTACCACTGGCTAGCACTGCATGAAGGTCTTTAATCTTTGGAGTCTTAATATGAGTCATAGGACTGATTTTATTTAGTGTCAGATAATAAGATTACTTGATCTATATATTGTTCTGAAATGTTATAAAAGCATATCATATTATACAACATGTGACATGTAAGAAGGTCCTTTTCTTTTTATCTTTTGCCTGTGCAGCTATCTGCTGTTTATGTTTCTTCTCATTTGGAGTTGATAGCTTCCTTTTAGGTTCTACATCAGACAATGCACATATATTTATCCATCTCTGTCAGAAGAAAAAAAATGCAACAATATTTTTGAAAGAAGATAAAGTTTTGTTTCATCATTAGTTCATGCCCATAGTGATCCACAGTGAGAAAGAAGGATGACTCAATCAATCAGAGTCCTGACAATTTTCATTTATGAATGAATGTGAGGTACAAAGGCATTTCACTTACTGTTTAACTTTGACCAGTGGAATCCTTCTAGTGAGAACTTCATTATTATTTTCAGGTACTCTGATGAGAATCTTTTGTAGATGGTCAAAATGATGGCCAAATTTTCTTCAAGATTAATTTTTGTGTCTCTTTGAATTCAACAAGGATCAGAGACATGGAATCACCCTTGACATGGTCTGTCAGCTATTGATCACTTCAAAACTCTGTTTTTATGCTTGAATAAAATTGATAGATAAACTAATCAGGAATGTGTTGATTTATCTACTTCATTGATAAACTTAAAGTTAACAGGCTAATTAGCATTCAGCAACCATTTGCTCTGTTCTTATATACTCACATTTGTTGCTTTTGTTGTAGTATATGCTGGTGGTGCTTTGGCTGGAAACTGTATTCCATGGAACAAAGAATGAGATGGTCTGTGTGCATGAGGTTTTCAAACTGTAGGGTTTCTGAGGAAAAAGAGAAGGGATGATTGAGTAGACTGTAAGCAAATCTGCTGCATTGAAGCTTCTTGGCCTCTGGAATATGTATATTTCTTGTGAGATGGTCACTAGAACAAAGTGACCTATTGGGTTGCACACCACCAGTATGAACTGTGTGTCATTAATGGCCAAGTTTTACCATCACAGCTCCAAATATAGCATATAAAATACTCACATGAAGACTTTTAAGGCACACACATCACTATTTAAAGTCACAGTTTCATGACTGAACACATGCATACAGTGCTTGTTGGGAAATAATAGTTGGATTTGAAGCCACAAATTTTACCTTTGCTTTATCCTTAGTTATATAATCCTAATATAATAAGCTATGAACACTGCAGCCATTGCATCCAAAATCTGAAAATTGCATCCTACAAATTCTTGGCATGTTAGAGAGACAATCCATCTGCTCTACAATGTTGTCAATGGATTGAGGCCTGCATATATGTGCAGCAAGTGCACTGCATGTGGATGAACAGGAGGTAAAAAGAGTATGTGGCTTGTGGAGAACCACAAAGAGTTATTGATTAGCACATTCTGACACATATATTTCAGTTCAGTTGCAGATATGAAAATTGGTTCATTGTCATTATAATTACATCAAATTTTCCTTACTAATTGACAATGTCAATACACAGCATAAGAGGATGATGGTTTTCCATGTGGCTGCTTAGCTAATGAACAGAGCATGGATTCTGCATGGGCTATTAAGCAGATCTATATGCCATAGTCGTACTTGGTTTTCCTTGAAACCAACACTAACTTAGGCCTCAATTCATGTAGCTCACTCACTCTCTTGATATCCCAAACCCTTTACTTGCAAGTTTCCCACCCATTAAGATAATTGAGCTGCTTAATTCCCCGGTGTGTTAATCTTCAAGATGGTGGCTGAGTCAAGTCTGTCGTACGAGCAGTATTAATCTACTGACAAAGTTGCATTTTTGAGAGAGAGGTTTTGGAAGATCTAATCCCACTTTGACCACTGGATCTGATCTGATGTGAAAGTGAGAATGCGGATGCATGGCCGCTGAGTTCATGCAACCCACTCAAAGAAGAAGAAGAAGAAGAAGAAGAAGAAGAAGAACCCTAAGAGATGCATGCATCACACTCGATGAGTTGTTTGACTCCTGCAGGGACTCGATCTCGTCGACACAAAATTTAATGTCCTAGATTTTGCTGAACGAAGGATGGATCAGCGAAGTGTCTTCGGCTACAGCAAAGCAAGAGAGAGGAGTGGCGTTCAAAAACCAAGAAGAAGAGAGGGAAGCTTGTGGGTGAAGGGTTTGACCCATATTTTAGCTTAGGTTGCACGCATGGGAGGAGTTTGGGATGCAACCCGAGGTCAAGGAAGAAGAAACAAGGGGGATTCAAACCGAGGAGGGCTTCATTTTGGGAAATGTCAATTGGATATTGGGGTCCCCAAACAATGGATTCCTCACCCTTTCTCTCCTTCCCTCAATTAATTACATGCTTCTCAACTTGCTGCCTCTTTGGCAGACATGGTTAGAAAATCTTGGTCATGGGAATGGGTCGAGCACCTTAAAATACACTATAGCAGGCTTCGTTTCTTCTTCTTCTTCTTCTTCCTCTCTCTCTCTCTCTCTCGTGTTCCTCCTCATACAGTCACAACATTAATGTTGTAAGATATCATGGAACATGCACTGTTATCCATGCTGCTCTTGCTGGCAGTGACCATGCATGCTGCCATTGCTCTTGTAGGGCTTGTTCTTGCAATGGAGGAGAGGAACAACTTAGCTGAGAGATCAATCATGATGGTATGATGACAAACTCAAAGCTTTTTAGAACAGGCATAAAACTACTTTTATCATGGAACATTATTGCCTTTTAAGGATTCTTCAAACCATCCTACTGAGGAATCTTGACAAACCTTGCTTGTTCTTGCAAGGGAACTCTGTCTCATTCTTTCTCATATTGGAAAGCTTAGAGAATATGGCTTTTGTTTTGTGGCATTGCTAAATCTGTCAGACCAATTGATAAATCAAACATAGTATTTACATGTTTTTGTTTCTTCTGCCAATGAAAATTCTAATTTCAGATCAACATAAAAGTGCAACAAATGATTCAAAAGCAAGTCAACCAATGCATGAGTGCATATTGTTGGAGTTGGTGATGCATCAAGTGGGGAAATAAAAAAAAGAAAAAGAATGAATCCTACAAGAGTGAAATGACAAAAAGTAAAACCAAAAAAGAAAATATTGGTGGTGGTGGAAAGTATAATAGATATCATTCAAGAATAGGCACTGACAAGCTGATATAAAGAGTAAAAGGAATATGTGGAGCTTAGAATTTGCAGGTTGATCTTGGGATTGAACATGGGAATGTGAAGCTTCTATTCTGTTGGGAAGTGTCCAGTCCTCTGACACTCTGTAGTAGACATTGCAAGATGAACTCACCTCGAAGCTTGCACTCTGCTTAAAGGATGTGTATGAACTCCAGGACAGGAGTTGCTGCATATAATATTAGAGGGACAGGTAAAGATTGGCGATCTCCATAAGCAGCTACGCTTCGAGATGCCCCGGCTATGACCGCCTAAACAAGTGTTTCCACTTCCTTGGCAGTCGATTTAAGCAGCTGGATCAGTGTTTATAAGATCCGAAGATACGCCGGAGATGCGGAGAAGGCAGGCTTGAGAGGGAGCACATGCGAGCGGCGATCGATCAGAAGAAGCTGTCGTTCTTCTGTCAGGCAATAAAAAAAAGGTTGAGCCAAGAAGATCCTGCCTTCTTCTTCCTCCGTAGTTATGGATGAGAGAAGTCACGATATGGAGAAGGGAGATGAGGTGATACTGCCGGGGTTTAGGTTTCATCCCACCGATGAAGAGCTGGTTAGCTTTTACCTGAAGAGGAAGGTGCAGCAGAGACCTCTTTCCATCGAACTCATCAGGCAACTCGACATCTACAAGTATGATCCATGGGATCTTCCGAGTAAGCTCTCCTTGCAACTCAGAAATATATGTGCGTGCGTGTGTGTGTTGTTGTTGTGGGCTTACCGAAGTGGTTCTTTTGTCTTGCGACCGAGAAGAGTTGGCCACGACGGGGGAGAAGGAATGGTACTTCTACTGCCCGAGGGACAGGAAGTACAGGAACAGCACGAGGCCTAATAGGGTTACAGGAGCAGGGTTTTGGAAGGCCACCGGCACCGACCGGCCTATCTACTCCTCGGAAGGATCCAAGTGCATTGGCCTCAAGAAGTCTCTCGTGTTCTACAAGGGCAGAGCCGCAAAGGGCATCAAGACGGACTGGATGATGCATGAGTTCAGGCTTCCCTCCCTCACCGATTCTTCTCTCTTCAAGCGACCCCTCGATAAGAACATTCCTGCAAATGTAAGCTCTGCTGCTCTTCTTCTTCCTCTTCTTCTTTGTCGGTGGCCAACTGTGATCGTCTCATGCGCAGGACTCATGGGCAATATGTAGGATCTTCAAGAAGACGAATTCGGTGGCGCAAAGAGCACTGTCTCACTCGTGGGTGTCTCCCCAACCCGAGGCCACTGAGCCCGACTTGTTCTCCATCTCACGAGCAGCACACAGCATCCACTTCGGCTCCGAGATGGTTTCGTGCATCACAGAAGCTGGGTCTGCTCCAGCAATACAAGTAGGTTGCAGCAGTCAGCAGCAGCAGCAGCAGCAGCACAACACCATCATCAGCTATCCTCCACTGGACTTCTCCTGCTACAGGCCGATCGATCTGGGGCACTGCAGACCACCTCCCAGCGTCCAGATGCCCACCAACTTCACGTTCTCTCCAGCCGAGATGCAACTGACATCCAAGTGCACCATGGACGTGACATCCATGCTTCTCAACTTGTCGCCGGCGATCCTAGGAGACGTCGAGAAAGCCTCCCACATGGACTTCTTACAACAGCCGCAGCAGTGCAATGAGTTCGCAGTCGACTTGCCGCCGCTGGAGACAAACGCCAACTTCAGGCACCAAGTGGAGGAAGTGCCCATGAAGAAGATGGTGAACGCATGCGGTCTTAACAGCAACCGGTGGGGAGGCAGCCGGAAGAGTAGTGTGGACTTCCCCTTCGGCTTGCCAACAATGTTCTCTGATGAGTGGAAGCCAAACTTGCCATTGAATTCTTCATCCTACCCTAGCGAGATCTCCACAAGTTACTCCACAAACAAATGTTAACCTAAAGGTAGGTAATCAACATCATCTGCTAGCATTGCTGTCAGCATGAAAGGAGAGGGAGAAAGAGAGAGAGAGAGAGAGAGAGAGAGAGAGAGAGAGAGAGAGAGAGAGAGAC